TAAACGTTAGTCTAGTATTCAATAACTGCCAAATCTAAGTCTCTCTAATGCTCATCTGGCTTACACCATTAATTCCCGTCGAGCCAGTCTCTGTATTCTCCTCAAGAGTCGCCCCCTCGACATGCCCATTCAACAACTCTACAACATCCACTAAGGGTCCCTCAACTTAAACACCCCCAACATTCTCGTTCACCTGAATATCAAATCCAGTGCCAACCTCCCCAAAGATATCTTCGACAGCTGCGAAGTAAACCCTGGCAACCTCGAAACTTGGTGGAGCCAAATTTAGGTCACAAATGGGTCCCTCTTGTCCCATTTCCATGGACTCGACAACTGCTCAGTCTCTGAGGGCAAAATCCTACCCATCTTCCTATTAAGGGTGCGTTCGATTCCATTTGGTTTAGTTTTTTGCCGAAACTGAAAACTAAACCGATATATATATTTGAAAACTATACTTGTTTTACGGCGAATGGTTATACATTTTTGAAAAGGTTGTACAAAACTTTATTTTTCGGCCCACTCACCTTTGTTTTTTGCCCTTCCAAGATTTAGTGGCAGAGTTATTTTACTTTTACTATACTTGACTTATGCTCTACTACCACATGTGGAATGCGTTCAATCTCTCTCACATACACACTCTTGTATTTAGTCACTTTTAGGTTTAAATTTGTTTATACTTTTCCACATCAATACACTTTATGGCTTTGTCACCTTCTTGGTGTCGGCGAGCATAGCTCGATTCAGAGTCTAAGTGAATATTCTGAGTTGGGATGTGTCATTAACAAATTTCAAGGATCAAAAACTGAACAAAGGAATTTTTTTACCTCTCTTACCTTCTTTCTCTCTCCCTCCACTAACCCTTACCCTCCTCGAAGCTCACAAGTAATGAATTGCCTAAACTCTAAAGGAGTCACCAACCTCAACACAAACACAGTGAAAGAAATGAAGGGGAAAACGTCGAATTACGACCCTGAGTCTAAGAAAAAACCTTCAAAATCATAGGCATAACTCTAACTTTTCACCATAAAAAATAAATAAATAAATAAATGTCAGAATAGACCTAAGATCATTTTGCTCCCTTCGTGGCTTCACCTCTGCAAGGATTAAATGTATATTACTATATTGTGACTTATTTTATTTGCTTTTTATGTAGTTGAAGTCTTGAAGAGAGAATGGTAGATTATTATTAGTTTTCATAGGATTATTATTATTTTATTGACCGTTGTTTATTCCAATATGATCTCCAATTTGATCCATTCTTTACAAATAAATTTTAGGATTAATCTCAATTTATTACTCTAAAATTTCTTGGTTTTTAACATTTGGTACATGAAATTCCTAAAGTTATAATTTTGGAACATTTTCATACATCCGTTAAGGTTGCTGTTAAATTAATCGTTAACTGATGATGTGACACCCACGTAAATAATGATTGGATGCCACATGTCAATATGAGTCCACGTGGATATTAAAAAATTTAAAAATTTAAAAACTTGGGCTCTATCCTGTCCCCTCACCCACCTCACCTTCCCCTTCCTTGAGAGTAGTTCCATTGGGGAACCTTTAGGCCGACACCCAGCCAAATTATTGGCCTGGCACCTAGCCAATCCATTCCAGTCGAGCAGCTAGGTTAGCACCCAACCCAAGCTGGTCTCTAGGCCAGCTCAGAATGTGCTAAGCCCTTGCCCAGACTACATGACGCCAGGCGATACCGCCACGCCTCCCTGAGAACAAAATGAAGGACCAGACCCCACCACCAAACTCTACCTCCTCTAAAGCGACCACCGCCGCCATTCTTTTCCACATTTTCGATCCTACCCTTTATTCCTCTACCAATTTTCGCTTCTGGGTCGTTAAGAAACTAGGTTCTTCGGGGCAATTCGAGAACAAAACATGCTCAAGTTTATGCCGCCTGCTGGTAATTTGGGGCTTCCTAAGCATACCAAGTCGGAGCCCAACATCGCCACCATAGACGTAGGCGGCCAGCTCTTCCAGACCACCAAGCAAACCCTGAACCTTGCCAGGCCGGACTTGCTCCACCTTTCATTGATCGAGACTAGTCGCAATTGGAGGAGCTCTGGGGATCGAGAGGATCGGTGGCGAAGGGGTTACAGTTTTGGTTGGCGCACCAGTGGGTGAGGGGATCGGGGATGAGGGTTTCGTGGGATTATGGGTCGCCTGGTTCGTTTGGTGGTTGCGGTTCACAGGGTAAGGCCGAACTTGGCTGATCTCACATGGGTTTTGGCGGTTTGAAGAGAAGAAAAAGGAGAAGGGAAGAAAAAGTGGTGAAACAGGGAAGAAAAAAAAGAAGGGAGTCCAAAGAGACCATTTTTGAGAAAAATGCGAAGAAGAAGAAGGGATCAAATTATTATTTTATAATAAAAATTAATAATATTTTAATAAAATTGACTAGGCCATTTAGTTTTAGGGGTGGAGATGCATTTGGCCTATTACTGTTCATTTGAGCATATCATTGTTCACTAAGTGGATAAATGCGTTGGGTGCTGGCGCATTTGTGTTAGAGGTGGAACTATTCTGAGATACCCACCTCGACCCTCATCTCCTTTCTCTCTTCTACACCCATCCAAACCCCTTCCCTGTTACCCACCCCGACTCTCCCTCTCTTCTCATGTCCCTTCTCTCTTCTGCACCCATAACCCCCCTCCCTCCTCGACTTCCTGCACTGCCAATGAGGAGATCATCTCTCTCCTCTTCTCTTTGTGTGTGTCTCTCTCTCCCTCTTCTTTGAATTCCTTTCCACTTCTCCAATCCGACACCGCAACTGTCGCCCTAATGAATCTCTCGTTCCTAAAGAGAGCCTAGGGTTTTCCAATTTCAAATTTCGAACAATCCTAGGGGGTTTGGAAATTGGATTTTTCCACAGTTTCTAGGGTTTCCATTTTCAGTTTGTGTTGAAATTTCTTAATTTGGTGTTGATTTTGGGATTACTGAATCTGGCAAAGTTGAGGAATGAGGGGAAGGTATGGATTTAGATGTGAGAGGAGGTTGATTGTGTATGTGTTCGTCCTAGAAGGGACTTTGGGCTCGTCGTTCGGACTAGTGCAAATATGGATGAGAGATGATGCCCTCCGTCACAGATTTGTACAGCAGGGAAGACGACGGGAGGGGGGAGCAAGGGAGGAAGATGACTTTGTAATTTTTTTTTTTAAATATATTAATTTATATTATTTTTCATGGCGCTCAATCATTTTTCATGTGGTAACAGAGATTCTGTCGGAAAACTTAACGTATGAAAGTGTATAAGAATTATGACGTTAGGTACCACTCTGGGATAAAAAAAAATAAAAATAAACTTCATATACCAAACATTGAAAAATTAAGAAACTTTAGGATAGTAAACTAAAATTAACCCTAAAAAATATATTTACATAAATGTAGCACTACTCTAACGGAATTTAGGAATTTTTACCTGAAACATTTCATCAAATACACGAAACCATGTCTCCAAAGAAAAACATTATTAGGGAGATTGATCAAGTTATACATATCTCAAGAATTAAAATTAAAAAAACAAAAGTTATTAGTTCAAGTGACAACATTCAAGTATATATAACAGCAAGTGACCCTTTATCACAATGGTGAAGATGAGTGTTGTCCTTACACCACAACATGAGTTTGAACCCGGTCGGTTTCCTAATCTAATATCTAATCTAATAAATCTACCATTTGACAAAAAAAAATGTTTATATATAACATATATTTCATTGAACTATATAAGAAATATGTTTTCGTAACACTCCTCAACATTTAACTAGAATACTACAACACTAGAACACACATTAAAAATTAGTTGAAAATAAAGGGTTTAGGATAAAGTTAGAATTCTCTACAATCTCACAATTCTCAAATACAACTTCAATTACTTTATTCTTTTCCATAAGGAGGTATTTACAAGATTACAAAAGAGCAATACTAGGAAATAAATCAATATACAATCCTTTGTCTACAAGACAAGGAAACCCTGATCAAATCAAATCATATCAAAACCCTAATTAAATCATATAAAATCACTAAATAAATCATATCCCCAAAATACTTTCCTTGTTTTTTTAGTACAAGATATATTTTACAAGGGAGGGGGATTTCGGCTAAGTCACACAATGGGCAATCTAATTTGGTATCGAATTTATCATCCACGAGATTCAAACATAAGACCTCTCACTTACAAGTGAAGATGAATATCAATAGACTAGTAGACTATAGTACTAAATGGCTGTACTTTTCTTTTTATTTTCCAACAAAATTAATAGGTATTTTCTTATGTTTAGCTACCGTTTCTTTAGCGTGATGCTATCCACGTACGCATTTTTACTTTTCAAACACACTTCCTCAACCGCTGCCTTCAGCTATATACTGGTTCTTTCGTCTCTTCCACTTTCTCGTGATTCGTTTGTTTTTCCCTTCATCGATTGTAAGAACTTGGATTGATGAAGGGAGGATGCTTCAGTCATGCAGTAAACCCCACCGTTTACATGAACGTGAGATTTGATCCTAGGTTTTCTTGCTATAAGCTAGATCACTTAAAAGAGTCAAATAAAATAACTGCACTTGCACTCTCCATCTCATGGAAATAAAACGAAAAACTACCCGCACGCAGTTTCATCAAAAGTTCGTTTCTAAATTTCCACATCATTTTTTTTTTTTGGTGCTTTCATCCCCATTTAAATAAGTAAAAGATTTGTAGCTGAAGAAGTTAAATGCAATCAATTATGCACACAAGATCGTAGTTCGATTTTCCTCTCTCCTATTAATATTATTTTAGTTTCTACAAAAATTTCATACTACAAAAAGATCACATGATCTTATTACTTGTAAGATCATGCGGCATGTTGATGTAATTTCAAAAATTCACTTATTTATGACTATGTGATTTTGTAGTTAGTGTTAAAGTCCCACAGAGTAATATATATACTACTCTAATTTCTTCTTCTTTTTTTTTCTTGTTAAAAAGAAAAATTAACACAAACAACTTTGGTTAGGTTAAGAAGATATGGTACCTTGGAGAAACCGAACAAAAAAACGAAAAGCACAGATGATGTCTCGGTCTGGTGCGGTCCAAATGGTCCCCCAACACACACATTGATCCATGATTCCATAACACATCTCGACTTCACTCATGAGTCATGATGCAGCCTTCTCACTCCTCGATCTGGGTCCATTCACAAAAGAGAGTTCGAAGATGGTATCTGGATCCTTTCACAAAAGACAGTTCCATTGCTGGCAAGGTTACTTTTTTTTATTTTTATTTTTATTTTTTTTTATGAAATCTTCTTTTTACAGTTTCATTTGTCGGGTGTCGTTTTTGGAATTTTATTTAAAGGACTTGTTTAATATTTTAGGCATCAAAGTTTAAGAAGACAACCGAAATATAGCTATACCTCAGGTATATACATAACCCAACCAACTTACATGCCTGCCTGAAAGTCCGGCGTTTCCAACCCTGACTTTAAACCCACAAAACTTTGAATTAACAAACCATGAGATCTACAGAGATTAGGTTAACATAAGCATGATTAGAGGAGATGTGCATTTTAGCAATGTTTCTGGTGTAGTTGTCGTTTCTATCGAACTGTACATGTTTATAGGCTAAATGTGGTAAAGCTTTGCTTACCTGGCCACACGGTGAAATGAGTGGACCTCAATTGAAACCCAACTTTATAACAGAAGCCCTAACTTATTCCCCCTCGCAAGAAAAACATATATACAGTACCCTAAAACTCGAACAAGTTGAACCATTGTAATTTTAATTACTAATTATTGAAAAACTGAGGAAGAAGATGGGTAAAACTTCAAAGTCAATCTGCCCATCTGTGCTTTTTATTATGTTCGTCGTCTTTGCTGTTGCAGGTAAGAAAGAACGAAGACATATATGTCTTACTTCCATAGTGCATTAACAAGAAAACAAATACAAGTGTTATAATTTGAGTAAAATAGTAATATCACGTGATAGTGTTTCAAGTACACAGCAAAATCTCTAGTAAACTGCATTGACACTTTTTCTCCTTTTTTTTCCTTTTTCTTTTATTTCGATCTTCAAACATGACTATATATGTTTCTTGCACAATGCAGATAGCGGGTTTTTAGGATGCCGTGATTGGTCGTATAGTAGCACATGGCAGGGTTCATGCCTATGGAGTCCAAACTGCAACAACGCATGCACAAAAGAAGGTGCGACTACTGGAGCTTGCGTACTTTTCAAATGTGTTTGCTATGATGGTTAAGGTTGTCCGCAGGGCCGCCTCTCTTCACACTAGCTACACCTACATGCACTAGAAATACTCCAAAACTGCATTCAACTTTCAATGTATATGTACGTACTTGGCACGTATTTCATTCAACTAACTACGTACCCATAGCTCCATATGTTTGTAATGATCGATGTAGCTTCGATACTATGTATATTACTTACGAAGGTTTCGTACGTAATGTTCGTTTACTCATATGTATAGTAAGCTGAGTGATGTAAAGGTACAATGACTTTTACACATAGGTCTCGTTTGGCAGCTCGGATTATACTGATTATTTCTGTCGGATAGGATAAATAGCCACCGGATAGTACTGACTAAATTAGTCAGGTGTTTGGTGCAGTATCGGACTAGTGACCGTATTATTTATATTGTGTTTGGTATTATACTAGATAGGAGGAATCAAACTTAAAAAAAAAAAAAATTTAAAAAGTGAAATCATTTTTTTGTTCCCAGATCTCTCCGCACCCCCCAAACACCCTCCCTCTCTCTCCCTTCTTCTCCCCCGACTGCAGAAGAATCCCAAATAATTGTTCCCCAGCTCTCTCCGCCACACCCCCCAAACTCCCTCCCTTTCTCTCCCATATTCTTCTTCCCCGACTAAATAATCCGGGCGTTTTGGTTGATTTTATTAAGCGGGTGTATACTGTGTTATCCTATCAGACCGTTTAAATTAATCCGACGCTTATTTAGTACGAGTGAACGCCAAACACCCGAGTCCGTATAACTAATCATATCCGATCCTTTATCCGATCTGCCAAACAGGGCCATAATGATGTTGTTTATTTGTAGAAACTGTGTAAGACTGTAATTGTACGTACATCATATTTTCTTCTGCTTGTGGTGCAAAAATAGGGGGAGGAGGATTCTCTCCCCTCCTAATCTCTTTCCCTTTCCCACTCCTCCTACTTGAATGGTTACGGTTAAGTCACGTTAACATTTTATATTGATTTTTTTATATAGACAATAAGACAAAAAGCAAAGTTTGAGAGGAGGGGAGGGAAGATGTTGGAAATAGGAGGGGAGAGAATTCTACTCCAAAATAGGATGCACATAGGGAGGGGAAGGGTAAGAGAGCTATAATTGGAAGGTTAATTGACATATACTTTATTGCACTCTTTACTATTTTGATGAAGAATCCATCTGTTGACGAACAAACCTAAGGGGCTTAATTAACCTAATTAAGCTAAAGAACAAACAAATCAATCTCAGTTTACCCACCCCCTTAAACCCACAACATACTAACCTAGAACATCTTCTCTCCTTATCCCACACATATAGATGGCTAGGGTAGTGTAGTGTAGGGTAGGGTAGGGCAGTGCTTGGTAGCCATATAGAGATTTGCTGTAGTTTATTTTATTGCGCAAATTTACTCTAGATCAATTTCTTAGTCACTAGAACTTATGTACCTAATTGATAACTTTTATAATTGTTTATGAAGTTCAATAAAAATATCATTCTATCGCTTCTTGTAAGAAACGGCAGTTTTCTATATACCAAAGAAAAAAGTTCAAATTCAACAATTAAAAAGTAATTGCATGTCGTATATTATGGCATGATCAATTTTCTTAAGATAAGTCATCAGTTCAGATATTTCAAGTTGGACTTTTCTGACGTACCAAGTACCCAGTTTATTGGATGTCCACAAAAGTTGGATGCAACTACAAGTTTTGAAAACTTATTTTGTATTACATTATGAATGGTGAGAATATTTTCCTCCTACCATAGAAAACTTTAGGGCGTATAAAACAAATTATCAACTTTACCATTTTATAAATGTACTTTTTGGTTACTAAGTGTTGGTTCTAAAAATTACAAAAACCTACGTGGCGCGCAGGCCGAGTAACTAATAAGCTAACTACGTCCTTCGGTTGAATGCGGGGCGTGCCAACTCGTCGGCCGAGCTCGGCCGAGGAGTAAAATTCGTTGATATTGCGTTGAGCGCGTTGTTGACTTCTTTATCTTGCGACTGCGACCGAGGAAGGAACACTCTCGGTCTCTGGGTTCTAGAGCCTGAAGACAAGGCTACTAATTCTGTGAAGTTCACAAATCGTCGACGCCCGATTCAGTCACTGTGATTATATTCGTAAGAGTATAGGCACGTCGAATCAGCACCAAACTGTATGGACACAGGTACTCAAATGTGATGTATGTCTTGATGGTGAATGTAGTTCGGCCGTCGGAATGCCGAACTCTGAAACTCACTTGTGAGTATCCAATCATATAATCATTCGGCGTTCAGTACACCGAATAACGTAATTCGTAACACCTTACTACGCCAAGAAGGCTAGCAAGGTGACCTCTACCAACAAGGGTTCGAAAACCCTTCTCGGCCGAGACTTAGATAGGTAACCGGTCGGCCTTGACGCAATGCTGTTTATCCAAACTGAAGGTGCTTCTCGGTCGGCTGATTCTGCGGCAACAGTGCTGTTTATCCAAACTGAAGGTGTTCGCCGGGTGCCTCCACAGTGCTGTCTATCCAGACTGAAGGTATGTCGGCAGAAAAGAAAAGGAAAATATCTCAAGGTATTTGAGAGGCTTTGCGCAGGGCAATTGTATGCTGAATTGAAGGTCCCTTTTTGTTGCATGATTTCTTGTATTTATAGCACCCCATTCCTTGAAACCGAATTGCATCCTTATCTGGATTGGGAGTCCTTGTCCCGTTTCAACTCTACTTCGAACAAACCTACTCCAACTAGGACTTTGAACTTTCCCCTCTTCCGAGGCTTTATTCTTTGCCGGCCGGGAATCCTGGTCGCACGAGGACTTCCTCGACCCTTTCTGTTTATCTGGACTACTTCTTAGGATAGGACTCGACATACCCTGCCAACTGGCCCAGGATTTATCACTCGGCCCATAGCATTTGACACAGCCTTGGGCCGAGCACAACCTGCTGCTCGGCCCAACAATATTATTTTTGGGCCCAAACACTAAGGTAAAAACCCAAGCAAAAGCTTGGGGAGGGAGACCTTTTGTGAGTCGGACCTAGGGAAGGTTTGTAGTTGAAATTGTTTTCAAAATGGCTGAAAGCGTTTTTGATAAAATATTTTTAGTATCTTTAGTAAAAATGCAAGCGAATTTTAGAAGAAACACTTGAAGTGCCTTTCTGCAATACATAACTAGTGTTTCATGTAAGAAGCACATCAAGTGATTTTGAAAGTCAAAATTTTTTTGTAAAAGCTTTCAATAATTTTGAAAGCACTTCTAAATGAGCTCATAATGTCTACGATGGGACTTCTGAGTTATAACACATGGATGCATTTTTCTTCCAACGCCTTCATGCTGTTGAATATGTTGACCCACACATATAAACAAGTTCAATGAAATCGGTGGGATGGTTTCCAAATCTTTAGCAAAGTCGTTGGTGAACATATATATATATATATATATTGCAACACAGGTCGTTGGTGAACATATATGTATACAGTAAATCATTTTGTTTTCTGGGTCAATTTGCTGTTATTTATTTTGTTTCCACATGTATGAGATACCAGTTGGCTGTCGTTTATTTGTGAAATTGCTAGTGAGGCTCTACACTAACACGGATGAAGATCATGATTAAATACAATAAAAATCAACCAATTGTGGCATAGGTGAATCATGAAAAGAGAAAAGCCTAACCTAACGGGAAAAGAATTGCTGCAATTTTGAATAAGATTGATGTTTAAGGGAGAGATTAGTTGGTTAAGAGTATTTTTTTACACAAAATGTTCTCTAGGTTCGAATCTCATTATTATAATAAATAAATAAACAAATAACTTTTATTAACTGTGCTCCAAGTATTTTTATTAATAAGCTCACTTGTATCAACTCTACCATTTTATCCTTTCTAAACAACATACACATATGTTAGGATGGGAAGGAAACGTCAATATATATTTTATCATTTTATGTGCATGTAAATTAACGCTTGTATAAACACCATTAAATCATTTTAACAAGGTATATTATAAAATAATAAAAATAAAAAGGTTAATCTTAATTTATTACTCTGAACATTTTAGTTTTCAAAATAGAATTTCGATTATGATATATATATATATATATATATTTAATCCAATGATATTTGTATTCATAACTAAATGAATAAGATGGTACACCCATAAGACTTACTCTAACCCTTGGGCCAAATATGAGTTTTAACCCGAAATTTATTTTTGGGACAAATTTAGACCAAAATTCTTCTTTGAGATAGTGGGCTAGCCCCACCATATATGTGTATTTTTTTTAATTTTATAATTATAAAGTCATTGAATTCAATGACAAAGATCTAATATGATCAAATTCAACGATAAGAAAAAAGATATGACAGTCCAAATTTAAATCTAATGGCTAAAATAATTATAAAAAAAAAAAAAAATCTTTCATATGTTTCATATTCTTTCATAGTGTTCCACGAGTTTCAAAATCTACACATCTTAAGGACCAATGTGAGAATTATGTCAATCTCAATAACCAATGTGGCTAAATTTTTTTCTTTTTTTTAATTTGATCACCAAATAAAAAGTATAAAAAAAAAATAAATTTATACCAAATAAAAGGACTTTTATGCCTTTTCCTTTTGGCCGATTAATAGAATTATAATCCAAAGACATTTAAAACTTGGAGGGCACTCTGTCTCTGCGGCGTCGCCTACATAATACCGTTTACAGAAACCGACCTCGAACCGACAAGCTCAAGCAATCCAAGCAAGAACTCAACCATGGCGGCTAGGATGTTGCAGAGGCGCTTAGGCTCACTCCTTCTCCGCAATCAGCAGCCTAACTCCCATCTCTTCAAAGGTTAGGCCCGCCCTCTCAAAAACCCAACAAATCTTGCTCATCGATTCTTCGCTTTTCGTAGTCGATTTTTTGTTTATGCTTTTTTTCGTCAGAAAAATATGAAATTTTACTGCTATTGTAAGAAATTTTGAAAATTTATGGTGTGTATGAAGGAAATTGATCATATCACAACTTGGGTTACTGATGGATTAGGAGACTAAGTTGAAGGGATTAATTCATGAACATCTTCTCTAATTTGTGTTGATGGGTATTTGTTTAGTTGTTTTGAATGCCTGATTAGGAGGATGATTTTATTAGGTAAATACGTATTAGTATCTCTAACATAGTAACATGGAACACTTAGAAAGCTGGTGGAACAATTTTTGAAATAGAGTTCTAAGAACTGTCTAAAGCAAATCCTTTTAAACAAGTTAGTCGGACTTAATTGAATATCGGAGCTCAAACTCGTTCGTGGAAGCGTTATACGTCTAATTAATAAAAAACCATTTACAGAAAAGAGATGCGACTGGAATATATGGTGGCTCTCTTTACTTGAGGCTCCAAGAGAAACTGTATCTGTACAGAAACGAAGGCTCTCAAGCTTCGCAAGAATGAAATTCCCACAACACCTACACTGTTTCTGTATGTCTGTAACTTGGAGTCTACTGACTCTTGTGTAGAAAACCCGAACCTTGAACTTGAGGTTCAACTCATACATTCATTGCACTATTGCAGAATGCAAGATATACCTAGCAGTTTATACATTTATAACAGGGTTGTGCGTGTGCAATGGAGACTTGTGATATTTACAAGACTTGAAGTTGTTGTTAGAAATATGATTTCAGTGATTTCAGAATCTAAGTTTAGATATTGTCGTTGTGGATCTGGAAGTTCTGTTCTCGTAACATTAGAAATACTTTGGATATTGATTTTAACACTAGTTCTTGTTTTTTGACCTCTTAGCTTGACATTCATGCTAATGGTTCATTTCTTTTGCGGAAGATTGCTAATCGAGAAAAGAAAAAGAAATGTGATGGTGGAAAATATATGGGAACCTCAGAAATTTTTCATCAAGTAGATGGCTATTGTTTACTCTTTTATTGATGGTGTTAGGACAGATCGGCGTTACTTGTTTGTTTGCACTCAAAACACAGAAACGGACACCCATAGTATCTGATAATGCTATCCATCAATTTAGACACATAAAACTATTCTTGTTACTGGATACTAAGTTGAATTTGTTGATCTATTTCCATCAAAGTCCTCCGTTTGTTTCTCCCTTTATGCTGAAGAACTTGTTGGTTCAGCCCGTCATTTATAGGTTCTCCATGGATTTCTTCTAAGGATAAATATTTTCATGCTTAAACTGTATACTATTCCATTTAACTTTTCTTGTTTTTGTTCATACAAATTGTTGGCGGCAGATCAATTTGTTCCTTCTGCAAGTTCTATACTCAGAAGATATGGATTTGACAAAAGAGATCTTCAAACGCAAACAAATCCAACCAATCTGGTTAATGAGGATCTGGCAAATCTTGAAGATGGCAGTTCGAAACCCAATAATGATGCGAATGTTATCAACAGTTCCGATGCCAAATTTTCTGCTTCTTCCGAGCAGAAAATATCCCCAAGGCATGACCTGGCCATGCTTTTTACCTGCACTGTCTGTGAAACAAGATCCATGAAGACGTGCAGTAGAGAATCATACGAGAAAGGTGTGGTGGTAGCTCGCTGTGGCGGGTGTAACAATCTCCACCTGATTGCTGATCATCTCGGGTATTTTGGAAAACCATCCAACGTTGAGCAATTTCTGGCTGCCCGTGGGGAAGAGGTGAAGAAAGGTTCTGCTGATACGTTGAATCTGACTCTCGAAGACATAGCCGGAATGAGACCTCAGGGTTGAACTTGAGCAATTTGAATAGTCTCAGAAGCTTCATGGCAGGTAGATTAGAGTTTTCTTTAAGACAAATATGCTTCTGGGTTAGGCGTTAACCCATATGTAGTATTATTTTAATTTTAGTATAATTTGGTGGTTGTGTTTTTGATCAAATACAAGAAAAGCAACCCACATATGTATAATTCGATTTTGATTGGTGCTGTTATATGATATCTGCAAGCCTTTTTCCGTCAATCTGAGTTTAAGGAAAAGGCAAAGGGTTGATTTGATCTAAATTAAAACAATGTAAATATTTTTTGAATACCATTTACATTATCAAGAAGGGGAATGGGCTAAATTTCACAAAGGATCAACCATAATAAGTTGGTTTGAATTCGTTATTGGCAAGAATCAAACTTAAGATCTCTCACTTACAAGTGAAGAGGAAAACCACTAGACCTTTGACCCTACAAAAGCGATATTTAAAATTATTCTAATCCAACATAAGGTTGGAAGTGGATTTAAACCCAATTACATTAGTCGAGCATGTTGTTTTGATCACTAAGCTAACCCACATTTGTGATATTCACTTGTTCCGTTAAAATTTCAAGAATACAAGACAATAGAAAAAAAGTAGCCACTTAGTACTACGGTCTAGTGGTATTCATTTTTACTTGTAAGGGAGAGGTTTTAGGTTTGATTCTCATCAAAGACGAATTTGAACCAAATTATTGCTAGCCCACGTGAGGCTAAGTTTATCCCCCTCCCCTTTAGTATGGATAATATAGTTTGTTAAAAAAAAGTATATATCACTTTTTTAATAGAGAAAACAAAAAAGACAAGTGGTTTTGCCTTCTCCATCATTTTCCTCCTCTCTCATCTCTTATGCGCCATCCCCTTCCTAGCATCCACCTCCTCTTCCTCTCCCCTTTCCAGTCTCATTCCTTCGTTTTTATTCCCAATTTACCCCTAAGTTTATCTCAATTTCTGTTGAGTTGGGTCTGAACTATCCCCTGAACTTGTCTCAAATTTGGGCTTCATGCCCCTTATTTAGCAGTTTTCGCCTACTTTTACTGCTTTCTGTCTTTTAATTTTCTTTCCTCCTTCCTCTTTAACAATGATACTCCATCTCCGTCCCACCATGCACTCGGATCAACGGGCTCCAATCAGAAATTGGATTCTAGATCCACTACCCTTCTTCACTTTCCCTTCCCAACCGGCATGTTGAATCCCCATCGAGGCCAAGTACCCCTTAGCCTCACTATCTATCTATATGATATTTTGTTTGTATATATTTGCAAGTGTTTGTGAAGGGGACTTGCATCTGGTGTTTATTCTCTTGGTTCGAAGTTTGGCTTCTGAGGATGTGGCTGTGGCAATGGTCTGTTTATGCTGCCTGAGACTAGGGTTTTTTTGTTGTTTGTTATCGTAGCCTACATGCCTAAATTTGTAAGGGTCTCTTGTTGTATATTGAGTTGCTTCTCTCACTTTGCTTGGCCCTGTTACTTTATCTATTGTTGTTTATCGGGCTCTTTTGAGCCTTGTACTAGTTATTATTACGAAAGTTCTATTGACCAAAAAAAAAAAAAAGGGGAGGCAAGTGGTTATGGTTTATGGGTCAAGTACTCGGGCCTCCATCCAGCTACAATCCGAGCTTATATAAATACCAACCGACCAATGGAAATTACTCTGAAACTCCACTCTCCTACCAGAAAACCATGGCGAGTAGCACATGTATTCCCTCCACTTTCACACCAATTCTTCACAACTTAACCGCCAGAAACTCCATGACAATGGTGGGTTTGCTATCTTATGCTCCCAAAACCCTCAGACCTCTCTCTCTCCCCAAAAGCTTTGGTTTCAGCTTACTTTCCACCGCCACAAAACCCCCCAGAAAATTCTTCCAATTGCAAGGTAGTTTCTTTCTTGAATCTTCAAATACCAACTGTTATTTGTCATGTGGGTCTATTTTTTTTTATGTGTTTGACTATCTGGTTTGGAAAATGATCGAAACTTTTCGGTTTTGTTAGTTTGTTGGTTTGAATGTTTGGATTGGTTTTGTTTGAATTGGTGGTTTTGATGGGTTGAATACTGGTGTGGTTCAGAGCGGTATCGAGTTGGTTGATGCTTTGTTGATTATTGTTTTTATGCAACTGGTTTTGCTTGGTGGAGAGAAAATGGATTGGATTACATATAGTAGGAATTGAAGTGGAAATTGGTGTTGAATGGGAAATGGACGAATAAGGAGACACGGGATACATACTTTGGAGGTTTTCGTTTGATTATTCGAATGAGGAAATGGTTCTTTTTGTTGTAATATTTGTTGGAGTAAAAGTAGCTCATTGCAATAACCAATTGGAATGGTTCGAGTTTGGGGATAAGTGTTTCTGTTCAAAGAACTTCAACTTTGGTATGTATGTATGCCGGAGTCTGTTAATATGTTTGGCTCTAAATCGAAGGGAACCGTGAAGATCGTGTCTGAGAACTTGATTTTTGATAACCAATAAGTTGGAATGATCCACTATCCAGTGTATAAGAAATGGGAATGATGCAAAGAAGATGAGTACTCTTGCAAAATATGTATTAGGAAGCAGCCCGTGAATCAGATTTTTCCCCTTTTGTGAATTTTTTTCTCTTTCTTTGAAACCATCCACTTCCTATGTGGGTGAAAATAATTGTGAGTCTAATATATAAAAAAAATGAGACTTATTTCTCCCTCCCTCTCGTGTTTAGACAAGCAAACTACATATTTAATTGTTTGTATGGAAAATCAACTCCATACACTGACTGTTATTTCTGTCATGGAATCCTGTTCCCTTGGTAGAATTGTTTGTCCCTGATTAAAGGCGTCAGCACTTGTTTTGTTCTGTGATGTTATCATGGGTTTTTCATTTCAAACTTGAGTTTGTCAGAATGAGTCTTTTTCACTTATACTATTCCTTAATTTTTGTCAGTGAGATCAGTGGCCACTCCAGCAGAAGCTGTTGCTGGGTTTGATGACATGGTTGCTGGGACTCAGAGAAAGTATTACATGTTAGGCGGGAAGGGCGGTGTAGGGAAGACAAGTTGTGCTGCTTCACTTGCCGTAAAATTCGCTAACAATGGGCATCCCACTCTTGTGGTTTCCACTGATCCAGCACATTCCTTGAGTGATTCTTTTGCCCAGGTTTAAAACGCTACTTATTAATGTTTTGAAGTAGTTGCATTTCCTGTAAAGCAGAATTTAACTGGTTATAATGTCTATGCATGTGTGTGCACAAGATTATAATGATACATGTTATCTTGTCGTAGGATTTGGCTGGGGGGACACTTGTACCAGTTGATGGGCCTGAAGCTCCACTTTTTGCTCTTGAGGTATGTGGTGTTAGCTTCCCATAAAAGCTTTTGCTAATTTCTTCACATACTTCTGTTTGTGCTATTATTTGATGGGGTGATCATTATAATGATAAAGTTGTTGTTTTGTTTCTTAAGATGGTTTTGTGATCTTATACGTGGTGTATGTAGCTAAACTAATAGCTATGCCACAGATAAACCCGGAGAAGGCAAGGGAAGAATTCCGTAATGTAAGTCAGAAAAATGGTGGAACAGGAGTCAAAGATTTCATGGATGGTATGGGCCTTGGGATGCTTGCAGAACAGGTAAAGCTCTATTTGAGATATTGGTATTGCAACTTTAGATCGTGTTTATCGTCTTCTGATCTCATTTGATGTTGTGTAGATGTTCTTGAGCATTAAGGCCTAACTGATCGTTTGTACACATGTGCATGCACACTTATGATAATCCTTGCTTCTTTTTCATCCTGTGTGTTTCTTTTTCTGGTCGAAGTTAGGAGATTTAAAACTGGGAGAATTACTAGACACGCCTCCTCCTGGTTTGGATGAAGCTCTAGCAATTTCCAAAGTAAGTATTTTCTGGCTCACCAACAAACACAAAATCTTTTTTGCTCTTCTATTAATGTTTAATCCTCTTTCCAGGTGATACAATTTCTTGAATCCCCAGAATATAGCATGTTTACCCGCATAGTTTTTGATACTGCACCCACGGTGAGAGAATATACTTGCTTTTTTTTATCTTCAATGACTTTTTAAATAAAAAATAGCTCGCTATAGATGTGATATTGTTAACAGGGTCACACATTGCGGCTTTTATCATTGCCAGACTTTTTGGATCAATCAATTGGCAAGATATTGCAGGTAATGATGTCTACTTAGAATGAATAACGATGCATATGCGTGTGTGCACGGGCATCTTTCTTGTTCTGGAGTTAAATGCACCATATACTTGATTCTATTTACAAACACTATAATATTGACGGCGTTGCTTGATGATCTTCTTGAGAAGTATTGTTGGTGAGGAAATGTACGTGCATATCTTTTGTTGTTTTTGACTTTTTAAATGTTTTCTTAGAAGTTTTACTCTAAGTAGAGCCAGGTGTTGATGCTCAGAGTTTCTTGGTGCTTCTCTAAAATCTTTTTTAGCTTAAGTGTTTGCCACGCTTATGGTATCATCAATATCTTGGTGTCCACAATTTTTCCTTTAGTAGCATTAGTCAATACAATTTAATAGGTGCGTTATTTTATTTTTGCTTTGTTATAACTTATACGGTTTAATCCTTCCCTGATAGGTAAGCTGCATCTTTTGAACATTTTTAGAAGAAAAATCCTTAGATCACTTGATTTTTACCGTCTTGTATTTCCTTGTAAGCATATGGCTAGTCTGTTAGCATTCTTATATACGTAAAGTTATGTCTAGACATGTTTGCTACTAATTGGTTATTCTCTTGATTTGCAAATATTTTACATTTTATGTTAATCATTACGTTCTCTGTTATACAGCTTAAACAAAAGATATCTTCAGCCACCTCAGCTATCAAATCTGTTTTTGGGCAAGAGCAACCCCAAATGGGCGCGGTAAACCTGATGTCGTTACTTGCCTTTATACTTTATGCATACAAATACAAGTATACTTATATTTTATCATAAAACTTCAATCCAGGCTGACAAATTAGAGAAACTGAGGGAAAGGATGATTAAAGTGCGTGAACTTTTTCGTGACACTGATTCAACAGAGTTTGTCATAGTAACAATACCTACGGTAAGATCTTTGTCATATGACGTACTTCTCTTTCTGCTGTAATTTGGTCCTTCTCGAGTAATCGTTGATAGAAATCACTTTACATGATTCATTCTACAATGTAGAATCTAATCTTGTATGAAAGATGGATCTCTGCATAATACTATTCTCGTTTTTCATCCCTAACTAGCATTTTTCACTTCCAATTGATTGTTTGCAATTTTTTTTCTTGTTCTTTAGGTGATGGCCGTTAGTGAGTCATCTAGGTTGCATGCCTCTCTGAAGAAGGAAAGCGTACCTGTGACTCGACTTATTGTTAATCAGATTCTTCCCCCATCCGCCTCAGATTGCAAATTTTGTTCAATTAAAAGAAAGGTATGTAAATGAGACTCCTTTTACTTGTTTGGGTAGCAAATATATCAACTCTCGTTTTAGCAAACGCGTCAAGACGCATGCTTATTGACAAGTAAAATGGTGAAGTTTTGTCCAAACCGTGCAAAAAATAGTGTTTTAGGAAAATGCACTTTCATCTCATGTGCGTGCGTGCGTACAAATTTTACGTTAGATTTTAATGCAGATCCACGATTTTGTTCAATTTATTCTGTTTCTTTCGAATAACCTCAGGATTCTAATTAATTTTTCTTCCGAGTAACCTCAGGATCAGATGCGTGCTCTTGATATGATCCAGATGGATACAGAGCTCTCTGGCTTGACAGTTATCCAGGCTCCACTAGTTGATGTGGAGATCAGAGGCGTTCCTGCCCTCAGATTTCTGGGAGACATAATTTGGAAATGAACATCTTTTTTGCACAGAATAGATGATGATAAAAGAAATAACCTTTTTTGTTTATCCATTCATTCGATTCAATAGCATTCGGTATCTCCGAAATTGGGTTGATTCGTTTGAATGCTTCGTTTAGTGGCATTCCACTCCGCTGGGCCAAAAAAAAATTAAAAATTTCTTTTGACACAGTATTGCATCATTTTGTAATAGTTTCAAGCTTTTTCCCTCTCCTTAATAGTTCCGGGGATTCGAGCATTATGTAGGTTTGGCAGTAGATTATTTTGATTCAGATCTCATATAATTATTAGCAATCTGGAAGTTGTCCAACTATTTATAAGCTTACGAAAAATTTATTTTTTTTCCGAGGGTTTAATTCTCTTAAGATACAATCATTTTATGTCCTCTCCTTTTTATTGTAAAGCCATTTTTTTTTTTTCCGAATTATAAACAGGAACAGAATTCGAACGTAAAACCCGTGGACATTAAATAAAAATTCAAGACTGGAAAACTATTCAAGGCTAATGATTCCTTCAGAACACAGAGCTGCAAGAGAGCTAATTAAATAATAAAAATATAAACAAAAACCCTGCCAAGTTGATTAGGAATCTTTCTTCAGGGTATCGGGTGAGGAACTTTTGAATTTTAAGGAATTTAGACAACAAAGTGATAAAGAAATTGTTTACGAAAATTTAGATATGAGTGATTAAAAATGTATATATATATATATATTAGCAAGCAAACAAACAAACAAACTTTTAAATATCTTGTCAGCTCTCATTTAAAATTTGACAATCTAAATTTAATTTCTCCATTAGAAATGCTTTAAAAAAATTTGTAAACGAGTTATTTGCAAATTCTTTACACATACTTTTATAACTTTCATGTAAATGCATTTTTAATCACTCATATCTAATGGAGAAATTAAATTTCTAATGAAGAAATTAAATTTAGATTGTCAAATTTTAAATGAGAGCTGACAAGATATTTAAAAGTTGTTTGTTTGTTTGCTTGCTTTTATATATATATATATATATATATATATATATATATATATATATATATGTATGTATATATATATGTATGTATATCAAAACACTTGGAAGTTAGATACTAAATTTTCTTTTTTCTAAAGGATGAGTCAATTTTTTTTTATTATATATTGTGGATCCCTATTGTTAAAAAAATTGTAAAAAATTGGGGTTCTCTTGATCCATTTCATCAAATTCATCAATCTGAACTTTTGAAATTTGATTAAACAGCTATAAATATGGATCTTCTTTAAAAATTATAATAATTTTAACATTTAAATTAAATTTTAAAAATTCAAATTAATAAATTTAATAAATTTGATGGAAAAGATCCGAAAATCAGCCTTTCCATGTCATCGGTGGATTGTGAGAAGCATTTATTAATCAATTCAAATAGAAGGGATTTGACGTTTGGGCTATGCTGTCAAAACAAACGCCTAGAATGGCGTCAAATGCATATCAGATAAAACTTATGGGTTGGTAAAAATTTGTTGTCTTTTTATTTTAAGAAATTGTTATTGATACTTCAAAATTTTTATTTTACACTCTAAATTTTTTATATTTAAAAAAAATATATACTTGTGAGAGGTGTAAAATGAAATTTTTGAAATGTCAATAACACTTCTTTTATTCTATTGACACTTATCTCTTTTGAAGACGAGTTTACGTATCTTTGTAATGCTCATGTAGTGCATTTGCAACATTAATTTATAATTCCTTCTATTTAATTCTTTGTGATCTATTTCCTCCTCGTTATGCCTAAATCCCCTAGAATATGCAAATGTTTCTATACGAAAATATATATATTGTCATTTTCCATTTTCCATTATTACTACTTTATGTTAAAAAGAACAATTGAGCCAAAAAAAAGGAGAAAAATTTGAGCCACAATTTCTACAGAGGATTTCACTTGGCAACCAGTGTCTCATCAATTATTCGATTAACATTCTGACTCTCAACTTGTGAAATAGTATTGCCATATGGAGAAAAACTTTCACTTGACCTTTGCATTTAGTTTAATATTGTTGCTGTCATCGGATAATATCAAGAAGGTCATCAATTAACTTGGTCACTTGGTAGATCCTCTTTGCAACATTTGAGTCGATACCATGTTCAAATTGATACGCGCACATACTTGGGGAAGAATGACTTAACCATGATTTCATTTCAGAAAAGATATTATCTGTGCCATTGACACAATGTGCATGTTAGGAAGCTAATTAAAAGAGAGAATTATTAAACTAAAGTTGGAGGTTATGGACAAGAACCTTTAAGATCAGGAAGCGTAGAAAGTAACCAACCACAGACTCCAGCAGCTGAATTAAGCATTTCCTCACAAACCACGATGATCCGGTTGGTCGAATTTCGATCATCTGCACTAACATGCATATGTGACAAGGTCGATGCCACACTTTGCGCAGCTAGCTTCGTCTTCTCCAATTGCTTTTTGAATACGGGCAAAGGAACTTTGATAAAGTGATTGGTGTTTTCAGCAAGTGTGTCAGTGGATGGACAAGTAAAATAAAAGATGAAAACATGAGATAGTTGGACAACGACGATCTCATGAGTGGACTCATTGCTTTAGGGTTTACCAGAATATGTAGAGGATGAGTGAGATAAAGCTACGGTTGCACTATGAAGAAAAAAAAAAATATATATATATATATATGTGTGTGTGTGTGTGTGTGTGTGTGTGTGTAATAATATATGCAAATAAAAAGAGGTGGCAATCTTTTATAAACATTTTCTTTCTTATGGATTTATTTCCTGTTGAACATGAAACGTTTCCTTTCAAAGAAATGAAACCATAATTCTTTTCCTATTGAACTTGAAACGTTTCCATTGAAATAAAGAAAAACCATAAAAGCAAATCTTAAACGGATTTCTTTCCTGTTGGTTACAAGCTCTATCAGAAACAAATGGGGTTTGATTACTGCATTAGGTGGGATTCTGTAAGAAAGGTTTCTGTAATTTTGGAAGGATTGTTGTTAATTTGGCATTAAAAGATTACCACAACTTAGGTTTGTAGTGTTTACATTTGCTCCTAGAACGTGCATGGGAGCCATAATTTTTTGGGTTTTTTAGATATAGACCCTTGCAATTATTATTTCCTGAATAAAAATCCACCTAAATCTAAACATCAAAATAAAATCCAAATTTGAAAAAGACTGCCAAATAGAAAAGTAATTGACCTATTATTACAAAATATTTACAACTTGTGCCACAATATTTCAAATCAAATCAATAAATATTATTACGTACCTTAATTATAATGAACAAATAATTATTGCACATACTATTACCCCTAACATATTTAAATATATATATATATATATACAAAAATACGTTCAAAAGTATATCATACTACTAAAAGTTCAATATACATATAGTTTACCTATATGTATATAGTACTACCATACGTTCAAATATATATATGTGCACTACTAACATATATGTTAAAAAATTATTATATGTAATTAGTTTACCTATTTGTAAATTTATGATTAGTAAATAATATATTTTGTAGGTAAATTAATAATATTTTGTAGGTAAATTTATTTTGCATGAAGTTTTACTTATATTAGTCATTTTTTTACATATGTGTGTGAAATAATTTACCTACATTAATCTGTAAAATATAATTTTAGTGACTTAATTAAGCATGTCAATATATTAGACATTTTTATTGTTATTATATATTAGGCAATGAATTTATGACAAAAGTTTTATTAGTAAAATTATTAATTCTCTCTTATAATTCTCATGGCATTAATTGTGTACATCAAACATTCAAATAGGGGTATTTTAGGCATTCAGAAAATTTTAAATGTTTTAAGTCAAATATAATTAATAATTTGTTGATGTGGAATCTAGTAAATGGGTTTTATTCGAGTAAAAAACTTATGTTGGGTTTTATATGGAGAAAATTAAGTTTTAGGGGCTAAAATTATATTTTCAGGAATTTTTTTTATGGGTGGATCACTAGCTTAAAAAAACCCCTAAAATCAAATGATTTTTTTTTTTTTTTGGTTACATACGTATTGTATGCAAAAATTTAAGTTTAACTTTGGTATTTGTATACTTTAAAATTCGCTTGGCATGAACTCAATAAGCTTCACGATTACAAACTGCAAAAATTACATTAAATCATCTAGTTTCACCTATATTTAGATGCAAACACAAGAAGAAGATAAAAGACTTGATACATGGACTATCTCAATTACAACAAAACAACTAGCACAAAACAAAAAAAAAATGAAAGTTGAACTAAAGTATCTTTAAAAAATTGATTGAAAACAATATAAAACCCACAAAATCAAAGTACAATAATCTTGAAAAGAATGATATCACAATTTCTATGGTAATTTTTATATTTTTAGTTGTGCTGAATACTCACCGAGCTAGTTTCATTAAACATAATTGTTCTTGCACTTTTTTTTTGTCTATTATATTAGGCAATACACTAAACTACATACATATTGCTAAAAATCCTCCCTAGGCTACAGCCCACTGTAGCCTTTGGTGTGGCTCCGCAACATGTAATGGAGCTGCACACTTTGTCTTCGTTTGCTTCTTGACACAACGGTAACCATAGATGGAATTATATAAAGTCAATTTGACTTTTTAATACTTTAGTGGCTAATACAAATGTTTCAATTCAAATTTAATAATATATCTATGGTTTGTCCGAAAAAAAAAAATATTATTGTAAAAAGAGGGTAGGAATCTATTATTTTGTTCCTAGGATTGAAAATTGAGGTTAAAAAGAGGTAAATAGAATTTATATTCAATGAGGCCAGTTGAATTCAGGAAACTCTGCAAGGCTTGCATTAATATGAAACTTTTGGTTGGGTTAAACTTGTTCGCTCACAAACGGTGATCAAACTTGCTCCAATCCTGGTGCGTAGGGGACACCGGTGGATGGCAGCCATGAGTCACCATCAATAAACTTGGTCACAGTAAAAAATTCGGCATCGGATGCCTCGGTAATTACATGATAGCCGGGCCACTTGACCCGACCTACAGTCGATGCACCCGTCCCATTGTTCATGTACTCAGCATAATACAAAGTGTCAAGCTCACCAACCCCATTCCAATCCAGCCAACCCTCGGGTCTTATTACATCACTCATGTATGACTGCATGAATATAGTACGTGAATATTTTCCCCAAGGTCGACCTAAGTACGTGGGTGAAGAAGTAACATTACCCCCTAGATCGGAGTCTGCATCAACGTTGCAAAATTGAAATGAGAAGCCTGAAGAATCTGCCGCATATCGACCGTGCGCAGTGAGAGTGTTTGGTGCACCTTCAAGGTTTTTCCTGGCAAGAATGTTACAGTTTTGGAAAACGGCAGTGCCGAAGCCGAAGATGAAGTCGATGGTGCCACTGATCGTGCATTCTCGGTAGAACTGGCGACCGGACTGCACCAGCAATGTGTCTTGATATCCACTCATCTTGCACCTGTAGAAAACTGATTGGTCGCCGCAGGATGAAAGTGCAACTGCTTGCATGTTATTTGGCCCGGCAGTGTTCTCAAACCCTATGTCCATTGCTACGAACCCTTCGGCATCTACAGCTATATATAAGGGAATTGATTCACAACAAAAGTCAATAAGTGGATACATGATAACTCATTAATGTATAAGGACACTTTAGAACATATAAAAGAAGTAAAAAGAAAAGATTGAATTTGCCAACAAAGTTATCTTATAAATACTAGATAATATACGGTTAATTGAATGAATATTATCTAAATCCCTAGGTTTGCAATCCAAATGGGCCTTAAATTCCTACAATAAGCATCACAGCATAGATCACTCAGTGTTACGGTCTGATAGTATTCATCTTCACTTGAAAGTGAGAGGTCTTAGGTTCGAATCTCGTAGATGACGAATTCGATACCAAATTAGACTGCCCATTATGTGGCTTAACCGAACTCCCCCTCCCCTTAATATAAAAATATCGATGTACTCAAAAAAAAAAAAAAAAGTATCAAAGCATGGATTTCTATGCATGGACATTCGACGATGATAATCTAGTGATCGAATGCATAACTTTATTTTGGGTTGTCATATCTAATCCATTTCTTATATATGCGAGGTTCTGTTTCTCACAAAATAAGGAATAGGTGAAGTATGATAAATTCATCATAAAAAATAAAAAAAAATTGTTATGGGGTTTATTAGCGACCGGTGTGACAACCAAAATTAATCATGCATAATATTAATTACATGACAGATTTTTAACGGAAATGATAATCATACATTTTTCTTTTTCTTTTTTTTTTTAAATCACACTACACATCTCTGTTTAATTCAGTTTGCTGATAAATATCTTACCAAATGTTGCTGAATCAAGTGTTTGCCAACCACTACCATTGCATCTGTTGCCAGATATGGTAGTAACGTCCATGCCCTCTCCCATCAACATCAGATTAGTCTTTGTGGCATCAATTTTCACATATTCTTTGTAAATTCCTTTCTTGATAAATATCACAAACCGCTGTTGGCCATGACTTGGTGCAGCCGCAATGGCATCCATTATTCGATTAAAATTCCCACTCCCATCCTGGGAAACTGTTGCATTTGGCGTGCTGGACAATTTTGCGTCTTCGAATTTCGTCCCGCCGGGTAGTAGTAAAGGCTGAGCACCATTTTGGTGATGGTGATGCTGCACTTGGATCATGCCGATGACCTCATCGATTAGTCTGGTCACTTGTCTGAGGCTTTCTGAAATCTTTGAGTCAATACCATTCTTAAAAGCTTCCATGCATGTCATTTCTCTGGTTTGAGAAGTATTCAGCCATGTTCTCATATGGAAAACCACATCACCTGCGCCATATATACAATACTATATGAAGCTAGCTAGGTTAATTAGTCTAAATAAATCAATGAAAAAAAAAATCAAAGTAGTATCTATGTCTATTAAATCCAATGCTGAAAAATATCCTTAGTTCGAGTTTTGTTCTCTTATTGGAAAAATGAAAGTGCAAGTACGTAGTCTATAAATTTTATGTAGGGAGCGGTTGTCCCATTTTCTCTGTCCCCCCAAATCCAATTTCTTTGATTTAATTCTTGACCAACTAGCTATTGTTAGGTATTCTCTATACTATTGGGAAGAAGTCTAAAGTTCGAATGCATAGCATTATATAAAATAGAAAATTAAAACAGACAAATGAAATGTGACATTATGTATGTGAACCTTTTAAATTATCAATTGTCGAAAGGGACCAATTCAAGACTCCAGCAGTTTCAACAAGCAAATCCTCACAATATGAAATGACCACATCAGTAGAACTTTTAGCATCTTCACCAATATGCATATTTGACATGGCTAAGGCTACATTTTGCACAGCTTCCATGGTCTGCTCCAATGAATATTTGAATACAGGCAAAGGAATATTTATCAAGTGGGGATCGACATTATTAGCGCTCATGTTAATGGATAGGGAACAGAAAAAAATCATGGAAACGATGATAAAATGGAAGGACGACTTCATGACCAATGGACTCATATATGGCAGAATGTACCAGAAAATGCAAATCATGAGAAAATAAGGTTGAAGCAAAGAAATTATACACACACACACACACACTGTGAAGAATGCTCCCTTTTTGTAAAAATATTAAAGAGTTTACAAATTTGTTTTATTAAAGGAGTTGCCAAATCTGATATATTTATGTATTGTAGATTATGATTTATGGTTAAAACCTGAAACATTTACTATCGCTTTCAAATAAACATTAATTAATATCTTAATTATGCAAAAATAACAAAAAATAGCCTTTATAATTTGAGGGTGCCTTGATATGGCCACTACCACATGCATACATAAGTTTAGTCAAATTGGCTAGAGCGATGACTTTTCAATTACAAGTGAGGAAGAATAATACTAAATCATAATACTAATGATTTAGGTAGTAAAAGTTAACCACATGGACTATTGGATTGGGATAGATTTTCACATGGGGAATCCATTCATATATTGCATGTGATGGATTTACCTAATGGTTAGAATCCTCCTTTTAAACTCGTTGGATCCTGAATTCAAACCCTCCCATTAGTATAAATTAAAGTGGTAATATAAATTGTATTTAAAAAGTTTCAAATAGTAGTGTGCTACATTTATGATTTATTTATTTATAATTAGCAACTGGCATGATAAATTCTTGTGGTTTAATTTGTAGTTGGTATCATGTATTTCTGGAAATTGACAAGGAACAAGAAGTAGAATTTCAAAGGAATGTGCAGTGCTCTCTCTGTCGAGCAAGCATAGATATTTTCATTAAATATCAACACATTGGACTTTTCTCTTACAAGCTAGTCTAGAGCAATATCAGCCCCTGATTCACAAACAGTAATCTAAAGCATACACTTATCCTATGAGACTAAGCATTCACTTAACTGTTGGTTTCTTCCTTCTCAACCATTAGATCAAAACCAAATTCTATTTAATTCCAACACTCCCCTTTAAATGAATTATGGTCATTCATCTGAGATAGACAAATCTTTCCTTTGGTAGAGCTTTGGTAAAGATGTCTGCCATTTGATCTTGTGATTTGCAGTAGATCAGTTCAATGGTATTCTCCTGCAAGGCTTCCCTTATGAAGTGAAACTTCCTTTTGATATGCTTGGTTTTCTGGTGAAAAATAGGATTTTTGGTCATAGCTATTGATGATGTGTTGTCACACATAAGTGGTGTAGCATCCACTTGCATTTCACCAAAATCCTTTAACACAAACCTCAACCATATAGCTTGAGAGGTAGCCACTGCAGCACTCACATACTCTGCCTCAGCCGTAGACAGTGCAACACTTAGTTGCTTGACAGAGGCCCAAGAAAATATCACAGAACCAAATGCAAATGCATATCCTGAAGTACTTCTCATGTCATCTTCATTACCACCCCAATCACTGTCACAAAAGCCTACTAGGATTGCTTCTTCTCCCTTTTCATACTTGATTCCATAGTCCAAGGTCCTTGAGATATACCTGAGTACTCTCTTGGCAGTTCCCATGTGAATTCTTGTGGGATTCTGCATGAACCTTGATAAGAAACTGACTGCATACATAATGTCAGGCCTTATGGTAGTCAAGTAAAGTAGACTCCCAACCATTTTTCTGTATAGGCTTTCATCAACAGGTTCAGAACCATCCACTTTACAAAGTTTCTCATTTGTGATCAATGGTATTGCCATAGATTTGCATCCTTCCAGATTGAATCTTTCAAGCAATGATTGTGCATACTTCTGTTGATGTATGAAAATCCCAGTAACTTCTTGTATTACTCCAATTCCCAAGAAGCGATGCAACAAGCCAAGATTCGTCATCTCATATTGTCTCATCATGTCCTTTTTGAATTCTTCAATCATTTCTTCACAATTACCAGTAAAGACCACATCATCAACATATATAGACACAATAAGCATATCAGAGTTCTCACCAGTTTTTGTATACAAGGTAGCTTCACTAGGACTTTTGTTAAATCCACTTTTGCTGAAATAGGAGTCTATCTCACTGTACCAAGCCCTGGGGGCTTGCTTGAGTCCATACAGAGCCTTGTTTAACTTATACACATTCTCTTCTTCATTTGGAACTTCAAATCCTTATGGTTGATCCACATACACTTCTTCTTCCAGAGTGCCATTTAGAAAGGCAGATTTAACATCTAACTGGTGAAGTTTCCATCCCTTTTGAGCAGCAAGAGCAATCAAGATTCTAATGGTATCTAACCTTGCCACTGGGGCAAAGGTTTCATTGAAATCTACCCTAGGTTGTTGTGAGTAGCCTTTGGCAACCAATCTTGCTTTGTTCTTCTGTATAGATCCATCCAAATTCAGTTTGGTCTTATAGATCCATTTCAACCTATCACAGATTTATCACTCGGTCTATTTACCAATTTTCAAGAAGAGTTTTTCTCAATCATGGCAATTTCTTCACTCATTGCTTTCTGCCAAGATTGATCCATTTCAGCTTCTTCAAAACTCTTTGGTTCAGCAACACAATAGTTACATACTGCATAGATCTCATCTAAACTCCTCATTCTTAATGGAGTTGTTTCTGGGGAGGAATCTTGCAATTCTTGTCCTTCTGCATTTGAAGTAGAGGGCTGAGATCCTTGTGTTGGTGTTGAAAAATTATTTTGACTTCCATCCTGTATAACAGGTTCATTCTCAATTTGCATATCAGCTTGTGCTTCTTCCATAGTTAATGGAAATGATATGGTGTCAATGTTATTGGTTTCCCAATTCCATGCTTCATTCTCCTTGAACACCACATCTCTTGAGATAATTACTTTATGTGACTCAATATTGTAAAGCCTATAGCCCTTTTCACAGCTTCCATAGCCTATAAGAACACACTTGATACTGTTGATTTCAAGCTTGTGTCTTAATTGAGATGGTATTTGTGCATAGCAGATTGATCCGAACACCTTCAAGTGTTTCACACTTGGTTTTCTACCACTAAATGCCTCAAAAGGTGTTTTCTTCTCAAGTGCTTTAGTTGGACACCTGTTTAGAAGATACACAGATGTATTGACAGCCTCACGCCAAAGGGAAAGTGGCATTTTCTTATCATGCAGCATTGACTTGGTCATTTCAACCACAGTCTTGTTCTTCCTCTCAGCTACACCATTCTGTTGTGGTGTGTAGGCCACTGTCAATTGCTTCTATAATCCTGTTTCTTCACAGAATTCTTGGAACTCAAATGAAGTAAACTCACCACCTCTGTCACTTCTTAGTCTTTTAATCTTGAGACCACTCTAAAGTTCAACCATCACCTTGAATTTCTTGAAGATTGAAAAAACTTCACTCTTGTTTCTCATAAAGTATACCCAAACCATCCTGGTGCAGTCATCAATGAATAACAGAAAGTATCTGTTTCCACTGAGTGTAGGTGTCTTCATTGGACCACACACATCTGTGTGAATGAGTTCTAGAGGTTGGCTTGCTCTCCATGCATTTCCAATTTCGAAAGAGTCCATATGATGCTTCCCCAATATGCAACCTTCACAAGGTTCTTTAGTCTCTTGTAACTCAGGAAGACCAGTCACCATTTGTAATTTCTCCAATCTCTTTAAACTGTGAAAGTTGAGATGTCCAAACCTCTTGTCCCATAAGCAAGAGTTTTCTGCAACGCTTGTTTTTAGAGCAATTGAGTCATTGTAATCTAGCATAAGTGGAAAACTTTTGTTTCCTATCATGCCAACTTGTGTTACCAAGTTTTGGAGGCTTCTGTCATCAAAGATCTCCACCATATTGTCTCCAAAAAGTAAGAAATAACCATGAGCAATCATCTGTCCCATACTAAGGAGATTCTTATCAAGGCCAAGTACAAGTATCACATCCTTGATGAATCTTCTTCCACCCTTTGTCTCTAGAACAAGAGTTCCTTTTCCAGTAGCTTCCACGAGTTGTCCATTCCCCATTTTAACTCTGCAATTGAAGCTTCTGTCAATGTTGTTTAACAAGGATTCATATGCAGTCATATGATTACTGCATCCACTGTCAATATACCAGATTCCTGTCTTATTTTCAGTTCTTGCAACACTATAGGCATAAAAGACATTTACTTCCTCTTCTTCTGCTCTATGTGCATAGTTGACAGCTTGGTTCCTTCTTGGATTATAATCTTTTGCTAAATGGCCAAACCTGTCACACTTGGTGCATTTAGGTTTTCCCTTGAACCAACAAACACCATAGTGTAATTTGTCACAGATTTTACGCTTGGTTTTGGTAGAATCACTGCTAGTTTCTGATTTTGATTGTGGAGTATGCTTGTTGTCCCATTTCTTCCCTTTTCTTTTCCAGAATTTCTTTTAATTTGAGTTATTCCCCTAAGTCTTGTAACTGCTATCTCCCTCAGTCACACTTAGGCTAGCAAAAGTCTTTTCAGCTAAGTTTTCAGAGTGCATGTTTAATCTTTGCTCATAGCCTTTCAATGTGCCAATCACTTCCTGAACCTCAATAGAGTCAAGGTCCTTAGTTTCTTCTATAATAGATGTGATGGAATCATAGGATTTAGGCAAGCTAATAAGTTTCTTCTGCACTAATCTTTGGTTTGACAGTTCTTCACCAAGAGTTTTCATTTGGTTCACAATGTCAGTCATTCTTGTTAAATAAGCAGATAGAGCTTCTCCATCATTCATCCTAGTGTACTCAAAATCTCTCCTTAAACATTGTAGTTTGACAGATCTAACCTTTTTATCACCACAAATTTTTTGTTGAAGAACATCCCACGCAGTCTTGGAGGTTTCAAAGTTTGAGATTCGAGGAAAGATCTTATCAAACACTGCCCCTTGAATGATACCAAGAGCTTTTGCATCTCTGGTTTCATTAACCTTCATTGAGCTCTTCACAGACTTTTGATCTTCATCGCTAGACTCATCTTCAGTTTCTACGATTTCAAAACCCTTGTCCACCAAATTCCAGAGATCATATGATTTGAATATGGTCTTCATCTTGATGGACCAAAAATCGTAGTTGGACCCATTAAAGATAGGAGCCCTCAGATCTCCTCCATTGCTCGAGGTAGCCATGTGAGACTTTGTAAGAACAGATGAGGTTTTTCAAAATCTGGGTTTGTTTTTCCCCTTTTTCTTTTCAGAGATACGAAGCGCACAAAACGCCCAGTCCTAAAATTGATCAGAACCTAAGCTCGGAGGCCATGATAAATTCTTGTGGTTTGATTTGTAATTGGTATCATGTATTTCTGGAAATTGACAAGGAACAAGAAGTAGAATTTCAGAGGAATGTGCAGTGCTCTCTTTGTCGAGCAAGCACAGATATTTTCATTAAATGTCAACACATTGGACTTTTCTCTTACAAGCTAGTCTAGAGCAATATCAGCCCTTGATTCACAAACAGTAATCTAAAGCATACACTTGTCCTATGAAACTAAGCATTCACTTAACTGTTGGTTTCTTCCTTCTCAACCATTAGATCAAAACCAAATTCTATTTAATTCCAACATGGCACACACGCGATATATGGGCAATTAAATTTTCTTTTAATTTTCTACGTTTCGTCGCATTCACAAAACTACAACTCAGTTTATAAAGTGAGAAAAAGATGCATTTTTTTTAGGGATATTTGTGAATATGATGCTGAACATGGTCAACAAATCAGCAAAAACAATCCTTTTCATATAGGGCTTGCGACAAAAAGCTAAACCATAATTTTCAGTCTTAGTCATCCATCGGTGAACTACCTCCATTGGGTGGCTTTAAGAAAGTGGATCAGTTGAGCGTGATGAGACGTTGGAGGAGCGATTGAGGATTTTTCTGGCGAGAGATGCAGAGAGAGGAAGAAGAGAGAAGTGGGTTTTTTTATTTAATTTTATTTTAATTAGAGCTGCTATGTTTACATGGCTGTGAGGTTAAAATTGGTGTTCTTGTAATGACTAGATTGTTCATAATTTTTATTTCTATTCAGTTTTAATTTGAGGTTAGAATGGTAATTTTGTAGAGTTTTGGTTGACAACCAGAATCTTATTAATCTCTTTTAATTAATGAAATTCTCTTTGTCAACCAAAAAATAGTGAAAATACTATTTAGTCTTCTATCACACAAAAAAAAATGATGGGCAATAATGTAATTTTATGGGTCCAAATTTTATTGTTTTTTATTGAAACCTTACCTACTAATGATGTTAAAATACCTCCAATATTTAAAAAAAAAAAAAAAAAAAAAAAAAAAACCAAACACAAAAATTTCCCACTCCCCCCACGTTCTCTTTCCCTCTCCCTCTCTTCTTCTCATTTAAAAAAAAAAAAGTGTTTATACACACAAAATGTGTAGGTAAATGCTAGTTTGTAGTTTAAAATAACGGTGTCGACTTGATTCAATGTAAGTGGTATTCCTGCTACCTCTAAATAATAGTAGAAGTTGGGGTGTAATCCTTGTTCTGTGCATTTCTCTTGAATATTGAATGAATTAGAGTTTTCTTATGCACAAAGTCATATCTCTAACTGAAAACTGCACTCCTTGTTCTTGATATTTTCAGAATCAAGAGATTTAGGGTTTGATTTTGTGTTATTAATGTTCCTTGTTTTCTGGGATACATACTTTCTTTATATTGTTGAAGGATGTCTGAATCCTCCTCCCCAAAATGATAAAAAAAAAAAGATATTATGAAAAGTCAAAGCAAATACTCTTGAAGGGTAAATTACATTAAAAAAAAAAATTGTGATCCAATGGGCATATAGAAAAAAGAAATTGTGATCCAATGCAAGTTGATTTGGTTCACCCTCCCAACCTTACCAAACCTCCCAACGTGCATCTCCTTCCAGTTAATTTATTCTTTGGTTCAACTTATCGATCCTTCAATAACCCTGGTGCATATGGGATGCCTGTGGATGGCAGCCATGAATTGCCACCAATAAACTTGGCAACTGTAAACTCATCAGCCACGGATGGGTCAGTAATCACATGGTAACCCGGCCATTTGATCCGGCGCGTAAGGTTCGAACCCGGCCCCTCATTCATGTACTCACCATAATACAGAGTTTTCAGCCCAAAATCTCCACTCCATTCATGCCAACCCTCTGGCCTTATAACTGCATCTAATTGTGACTGCATGAAAACGGTACGTGAGCAATTTCCCCAAGGTCGACCCAAGTACGTGGGAGTTTGATTCTCAACAGATACAGTACCATATGAATTATCACATACAATATTACAAAACTGGAAAGAGAAGCCCGTGGGATCGTTTTGATTAAAACGACCATGAGCACTGATCTCGTTTTGGCCACCTTTACGGTTTTGCTTGGAAATAATTGTACATTTTTGGAAAACGGCAGTGCCGTAGCCAAAGATGAAGTCAACTGTGCCACTTATTTTGCACATTCTGAAGAACTGGCGGCCGTCATGCACTAGCAATGTGTCTTGGTACCCACTTAAACTGCACCGGAAGAAAGCTGATCGATCTCCTTGGGACCGGAGTGCAACTGCCTGCATGTTGTATGGTCCTGCTGTGTTTACAAAACCAATGTTGACGGCAATGAAACCGTCGGCTTTTACAGCTACATAAAGGGAGAGAAGGAATTAATTCACACAAAAATTATGGAGAAATATTAGAATAGCTCATGTGAAGTTTCAATAATTAGGTTTGAATGTTAGTAAATGATAAGCACTGTATTTGGCAATCTTGAAACAATGGTAAAAGAGAAACATTTTCTCCAAAAATTCAGAGAATAACTCATTTTAATGAGTTGAAATTATAAGGATGAAAATACCCCTAACTCAAACAATTGATACTACTGCAAGGCCTTGTAACTCGGTTAACAAGTTGAGCTGCAAATTAGCTACCCATTAGCCTATTGATATTCATTGTCTTAGACTCTTAAAAGTGATCTTCAAATTGATAATCCAATAGCCTATTAATAGAACACTTATGATGGGTACCAAAACATAACATACAAGTAAAAGCATGACTTCAAGCCAACAAGGTTTCCCATTTTGTGAGAGTCGGAGGAAACAACCATCGTACACAACCTTACCCTTGCTATGCAAAGAGACTGTTTCCACAACCTGTGACCTTAGAACATGCCAAGTGTTCTACTAATCTTGTGATCATTGGCGAAAGTTTTTATTTGTTTTGTAAAAGCAATTTGATAAAGTTTTGGCCTCTTACTGAATGTTGCTGAATCAGATGTGACCCAACCAGTCCCATTGCTTCTGTTGCCAGATATGATAGTATTGTCCATGCCCTCTCCAACCAAAACCAGATTAGACTTTTTGGCATCAATATTCACGTACTCATAGTAAACTCCTCTCTTAACAAAAATTACATAGTACTGCCGGCTATGATCGGGTGCAGCCGCGATGGCGTCGGATATTAGCTTGAAAGCTCCACTCCCGTCGTGAGAAACGATTAAGTTTGGTCTCTGCAGCCAAGGTCTAATGTGTTTAGACGTCCGAATAGAGCCAACAAAATCAGCTGTTTGGTGAGCGTGCAACATGCCAAGGAGGCCATGTATTGATGTGGTCACTCGTTTGAGGCTTCCTGCAAGAATGGAGTTGGTTCCTTCGAAGGCTTCCATGCATGTCTTGTGCCTTGAAAGAGAGCTGTTCGACCATGCTCCCATATGTGAAATCACATCATCTGTATAAATTTTTCATTGGATAGGTTAATAAGAACAGCCTTTTGTTAATTAATTAATGGAATATATTCTCATACATTAGTAATCGATTATTATACTTAACTAATTATGTTGTAGAGGATGAATTCAATTTATAGGATTTACGATAAGCTTTGAAGAAAGTTGCAACATAAATTATCAACTTCTTGTTGTGAATTGTGCATTCTTGTTGGAGAGATTTTTCAATGCACTTGAAATACGGGGCAGTTCGCCATATATTATCATACAAGTGGAAGAATTTTTTTATTTTTTTTCAAGTTCCTACACTTGTATAATGATATATGTTGTATGTGTCTGTGTTGCTACAATGAAATAATTAAATTCCATCCCTAAGCATAACAGTTTTTTACTTGTTGTAATCCAAATCGAATATTGATTAAAAAAAATATCTGTATCAAATGAAAAAAAAAAAAAAAAACTAAGAGATAAATTGAGCTAGAGGTATATGATAATAAATTGAAAAATAAAAGACACCTTTTAGATCATGAATTGTTGAAAGGGACCAATTCAAGACTTGAGCCGTTGAACCAAGCAAATCCGCACAATATGGAATAGCATCGTTAGCATTTCGACCATCATCATGTTTTTCAACATGCATATGTGACATGGTGGATGCAACATTTAGTACAACATCCATGGTTTTCTCCAATGAATTTTTGAACACCGGCAAAGGAACTTTGATCAATGTTGATGAGTTAGTGGATAGAGGACATAAACAAACAATGAATACAATGAAATATTGGTAGGGCGACTTCATGAATGGACTCATGAGTGTACCAAAAAAAATGAAAAAATGATGAGAAATAGGGCTAATTAAGATATGGAAGCATATATAGATCTATGTCTATAGAAAGAGTGTAAATCAAAATCTCTAAATAATTCTCTTGATCCAAAGAAATTGCCAAAGTTTGGCTGTGGTTTTTCTTAAGCAGTGAATTCACAGTTTGACAGTTCAATCTATCCTATAATTTATCATTCATGTTACTCGACCACTTTGTTAATGGATCTGAGTATGGTAGAGAGACTAGAGTGCACATCTTTTTATACTCTTGTTTTCGATAAAACCGAAGTACTTAATTAATTTGTTGGTTACAAACAAAAACCTTACATTGCGAACATTTTTTAACCCATGAAGGTAACTGGTTTGACATTTTAATTATTTCAGGTGCTAGTTCTCTTTTTAATGCCAAGTAAATATTAGAAACCACTTTTTTTTTCATATGAGTAAATAAGAAAAATAAATAACAACCACTGTGTAAAGATGTAGTCCTTTAGTTATGTAACCGTTTTGACAATTTGTAGTTTTCTTTATTATTTTTGTCTACAAAATCTACAAAATAATATTTTTGAGTATTCAATTTGCTTTTCATCTTTTCTCGTGCTTTGATCGAGACTTAGATATGATTTATACCAGATTTTAGTGTTGTGAGTTGTTTGTGCGAATTTTGTCGGCTTTAATTTAGGTCTTGGGGTTGCTGAGGTTGTGTTGGGAAATAGCTAAGAAAACCTAGTTAAAAAAAGATTAACCTATAAAAAATATACAGCTTCAGATTCAGATTCAATTTCCAGAGCAATCTCATGGGAGATGTATACATCTTACTAGTAACAAAACCTGAACCCACACAAAGCATCGAGGCGTGGTGCTCAACAGCTCCTAACATACATTTTACCTTATCTGCTTTGGACAATGCCTTCCCTATCAACGCTGACTGTTGATCTATGATCTCACTCACTTCTTCTGAAAGGTCACCATACAAAAGAATGCTATCGCCCGACTAACTACACCGATGAATGTTAGGATGATTATACAAAGATTCCAGTTATGAAGATTATAGCCGGTTTTTAGAAGTGACCCGCAGCGAGTTATCAGCCATACTCCGGCATACCTGTAGCAAAAAGGAAACAAAAGCATACAGATCAAAATGACAGTTTTAACCAATCGACTAGAAGTTCCAAGTACATACATCTGTATACTAGTTCACAAACAAAGCTCGTAAACATTTCCCATGTTCCATTTAGATTAATTTGTGGAGTACCTTTCAGCATTTGCAGTCACTAATGCCTCCAACGCCCACCTCGGGTAGCACAACTTAGCTAAAATCTTCATAAATTCACTATCTTGCTGCCGTGTTGCTATAAGAGTCAAAACAACTGGAAGGAGTACCGATAACTGCAAGCAATCCGTTTGTCAGTAAAATATCAATGGAGTTCACTGAATGCGAAACTGAGAATATGTTAAATGAGATACTTACTAGTTGGGCTGCACCTTGTTCGAAAGAGACTGCTAACGCGTAGGCTATACCAGTTACACAATACACAAGGCAGACCAGAACAACGTAGTTATCTGCAAACCTAGATCTTGGGTTGGTAAAGAAGTAGAACATAGACAAATACACTACAGGTTTTATCACTGTATTAAAATGATCAATAGTATCCTTAGCCAGGAAATAAGCCAAGCTGCTCATCCCCGAAGCACTCTCTCTCCAATAGTGTAATCTGTCTAGAGAAAAAGACCTCAAAGCCGCAATTTTGCACAGTAGAGCTGAAATCAAATCAAGACTCAAGACGTTAGGAACAAAAAAAGCTTTGTGCATTTGTGTCTACAAAAAAGAAACCTATAATTGGTTGTACTCACAAACTGCAATAACAGTATAAGTGTAACCGCCTGCACCAAAGGTCTGATCTCTGACGTTTGAAAGTGATCCTAAGCAGGCTCCAGCAAGAAATAAAATCAAATAATCCACTGCTTGCATGCGAGCTTCCCGTAGTCTCTGCTTACCAACTCTGTCATGACGTCAAATAAAGAGGATCAACCATTAGCATTACAATAAGAATGCAGAAAACACCATGTTTTCAATTTTGAAGATTTCAATAATGAAGCAATTTCTGTGGAATAAAATTTTTTAACTTGGCACAATCTTGATTCCTTACCTGCCCAGGAAGTATCTGTACTGTAGACATAAACCTGGAATTCTCCGGTTCGATAAATCCTTGGATTTCAAGAAATTAAGCTGTATCTTATCACGATGCAGATCCACAGTACTTTTCACATCTTGCCATACCTCTCCGACAAAAGACCGTTCCATCATATCATCACCAGAAGAATTTGTTTCACGATTTGAATTTTCATCCATCGATGACATTGCGAGTCCGGTGGCACTCTGCCTCATCTCAGGAGGTACTGAGTACCCATTATGAAGCATCCATCTGATGGGAAGCTCATCATAACTCACTCCCGAGCTTCTTTCCGTTGCGACTACACCCTCTAAAATGTCAATGAAGTGGTCTGGAGGGTTGACTCGGTCTGGGACATTGATCCCAAGGCCTGCAAAGTATTCTTCTACTTTCTTTGCTGGTCCATGATAAACAGTCAGACCACCTTTTGCCAGGAGTACCAGATCATCAAACATCTTGAACAAGGCATAGCTGATGCAAAAAGGTTTTGCATTAATGAAAGTATATGAGAATTATATGCACATCGAAAGAGGAGAGAAATGGTGGACTTTCAAAGTATAAAGAGTAAAGAACCTTGTTTTCAATGATTACCTAGGCTGGTGAACCACCATGCAGATATTTACCCCTTCAAGAGCTTCCCGTCTAAGTGCTCTAAGAAGTAGCTGAGAAGAGGCGCTGTCTAGACCGGATGTGGGCTCATCCAAAATCAAAAGTGAAGGTTCCATAACCATTTCCAAGCCAACATTTACTCGTTTCCTCTGGCCTCCAGAAATTCCTCGCTTCTCCACCGTTCCAACTAAGGAACCACGTACTGTTTGAAGCCCCAAGGACTCGATAACTCTTTCAACCACTAAAACTTTGTCCGCTTGTGGTAAGTCCACGGATAATCTTCAAAAAAAAAAAAAAAAAAAAAAACACAAGTTCATCATCAAGATGTAGCAGCAGTCAAAATTATAGGATGTAGCAGCGTTTTGCAGAAAAACCACACAATACTATAATGGTTGCTTGGGGTTCATGAATTGTGTACCATCACTTCATTGTAAACTTTTTAGTTGCAGGTTGACAATAAACTATCACACAACCAAAAAATTAGTAGCAAAGATGGCGAACATGTGAATAGTATATATTCTGTTAGAGTGGAATCTGTAAAGAGATGAATGTTACCTGCACTTAGCACTGAACCATAGATTCTCTTCCACAGTCAAGTTTCCATGCACGATATCATCTTGCGGCACAAACCCTACGATTTTTTTATACGAATGGATTGATGTATTCTTTCCATTTATGAGAATTAAACCAGTCGTATTGCATCCAATTGCTTTTCCAGCTAGGGCAGAAAGAAACGTTGTTTTTCCAGCCCCTGATGGACCCATAACAGCAGTGATGCGGCCAGGCCTAATTTTACCAGTTACACACCTCAGTAGATGCTTGTTTTTTGCTTTCAAAGTAATCGTTAGGTCTTTGAAAGAAATCTCAATGAGAGGCCGTTTCCTTATTTCGTTATTAGTTGCCATTTTAACCACCCCCGAGAAGGTTAGGTCCTTGTACTCTTGCAGCTGAGCCTTCTCTTTCTCAAGTTGACCATAAGCATACTTGAAAATTTGGCTATGAGTATTGATCGTCTTTCCTTTTGGCACATTTCCTACATTCGTATCCTCAGCTCCAATACTGAAACCTTCATAACCCTCAGGGTCTTCTTCAATTTTATGCATAATCTGCATGAGCTCAGTAGGTTCCTTTTTCTTTCCTTCTGATGGCACAGGTGAGGACCGAGAAACACCGGATCTACTTGGATGTGGTGATATTGAAAGGTCATCATCTGTGTGAGATCTAGATTGAGTCAACATCTTAAGTTTCTCAAGTTCTGAGCTGTCATTTTTTCGAGAAAAGGTACGTGATAAGTGAGCTTGTAATCCACTTGCATGCTTCTTAGCAGCTTCTTTTGCAGATTTCCATCTTTGGCGTGCTTTTGCTGTTTCCCTTGCACTTCTGGCTGCTGCTTCTCGGTATTTAGCCCGTCTCCTCCCCCTAGTGGTGAGAACTTGATCTGAACAATTGTATATAATAAGTAGCAGAGTACTCAAAGCTGCCTGCATAAGTAATTAAAAATCATAAATTTCAATTCATTTTTTCATTGCTTCATTTCAGATACGCACTTTGATTCAAATGAGCAGTGCGCCTCACATGAACAATCAATAACGTGCAGCTATGAAAATGAAAAATAAGGTTTTTGTTTAGGAAGTAAAATGGCCAGCTTACAATTAGCATTATTCCATATGCATGCATATTTTGATTTGCAGTGTTTGGATTGCAGGAAGTCAAAGCAAAGCAGCCTGAAACATAAAATAAAATAGCAAAAGGTTAGCTTCTTTATGCTTGCAGATTGTATTAAAGTGCAAATCCCGGGCTAAAGGAAAAGGGACGTGGCCACTTAAAAAAGGGCTGCAACCAGAAACATATCAAAATTTTGTTCGAGAAATAGAATGAAATAAAACTAACGTTTCTCAGATGTAGAACCCATCCTGCAGTAGTGTCTGCACTTGAATGAAAAGAAAAAAAAAAGATTAATAGGAAGAACATAGAATATGAAGGTAGCATAGACCAATTTTAACTTATCATCCTAAGTGTATAAGTCAGATCCGAGTTCAGACTTGTAAAAAATAACTGAAAAACATAACAAGAACACAATCAACTAAACATCGAACAAGTTCCATAAATGACGTAGGAATGAAATTCAATACCCGCTACTACAAGGAATGCTTTTCACGGTGGTTGGGCAATATGATCCAGCTGAACAAAATACTTCACTACTACTACCAACATCAGCCCATAAATTTGCTCCTCCACAAGTATGATTTGGTTGCCCCGGAGGTAATTGGTAATTGTATCTGCAAAAACATATCAATATAACTTTTACACATAATAAGCTATTGAACACCATAAGTCAAGAGATCATTAAAGCAAGAATCTGAACTTACGGTTCACACACACCGGTGGATTTGTTCAGCGTTGCTTGGGGACAATAAGAACCTGATGGGCAAGCTTCAAGAACATGATGGCAATTGGAAGAAAACAACGAAATAATCAGAAGCATCCTTTAATTAGGTAAAGTACATTGCACAGAAACAAAGTATAAGTTGATTACTCGGATATATTAAGATAGAAGGCCTTACGTATCATGCATGTAAGACCATGGGGGCAAAAGAAACCCTCACAACAAGGTTGGCAGCTCTGAGTCCTGGCAGGGATGTCCTGTGAATTTTCGAGGTCAACCTGCTCATTTGGGCCAACACGACAAGCCCATCCTGGCTCACACCCAGAAATCCATGAGGTCAAATTGCAGTTCTTGTTTGGTCTTAAGTAATTTGCAGTCTCAGATTTTTCAAAGAAACTATTGAAGTAGAACTTCATTTCAGCTGCTGTACACAACCGCCGCATAACATCTCCTGTTGAACATCATAAATTATCAAACTGAACAAATCAAATACCTACATTCGATTGCCAAGATACAAAACGAATGAAAAATCTTTTCAATTTTTCGATTCCCTGCATTACTTAAGAAACAACCAGACAGTCAAATTTATTCTTCATTCTAATTACAAAAGTACTTACATACCTTTAGTTTTTTGAATGCAGGAAGTTAAGAAATCCACATTGGATGAAAAATTAAACGCCTCGTTCCAATCGGCTTCCCTGAAACACAAATTTGATCATCCAAACTAATCTCTGTCACACAACTAAATTGAAACTAGTCCAACAATATATCTACATATAAACTACCAGCTAACCAATGTTTCCATTAATCAACTTAAATTCACACCCCAATTACACAACTTGAATTCTCAGCAACCAAACAGAAAATAGTAAAGTTGAAAACAAAGCAGCTTACGGGTCCTTCACGCAGAAGCTGGAACGATTGCTGATTTGTCGGCTGAGGACTGCAGTGACATTGGAGATACGGCCGTAGACAATCTGAGTGATGAGAGGAATAACTGCTGGGTTGTCTATTTGGTCATAGTCCCCCACATCCTGGCACTCCACAAAGTGCACCCAACACAGAACCAAAACCCCAACCGAAACAAATGTGCCAAAGTTGGCGCCTTTGGAGATCATTTTTGGAATTCTAACACCAAATTACAAAAGCGTTTTGCAAATTTAGTGCAAAAAAGTGGAAGAAAAAAATTGGGTTCTGGGTTTTGGAAATTAACTCATGCATTTATTAGTAGAAAAAAAATGGAGCTGGGTTTAAGGATCGGGTTCTGGGTTTTGGAAATTAACTCATGCATTTATCAGTAGAAAAAAAATGGAGCTGGGTTTAAGGATCTGGGGAGGATTGAATGCTGGGTTTGGAGATTGAATGCTGGGTTTGGAGGTTGAATGCCGGGTTTGGAGGTTGAATGCTGGGTGTGGAGATTGAAGGAGGTACAGAGAGAGCAGAGAACATGGGAGAGAGATTGAAGGAAGAAAAAGAAGTGGGGTGGGACCTGTGAGTTGAAGTAAACGAAAGCACGTCTGAACTCACGGATTTTGCCTCGTGACGGCTTTCGGACATGTCTCGTCTTATTGTCCGTATCTAAAAATTATTGGCAGGATAGAGTTTTGGGGTTTTCATCAAGCTAATATTAAGGAGAATGTTTTATTATACTTTGTAAATTATAAGACATTGTTATTAGTGATTAGATTATTATTCAAATGTTGATTACCGTACTTATTTTCTATTAGTGAACATTTACTCTTTCTTTTTTTTTTTTCTTTTTTTTTGACAAGAAACGATAGTGTGGTATTTCATTAATCAACACAAACAATTACAAGGGTGTGATTGGGTACAATACAAAGCTCCAGTGACCAATAAATTGATCTGGATTGAATTTGTGCAGACAGACAAATAAGAGTAAACCCCTAGTAGACTACCACAACCACGAACACACAATTGCCAAATGCACAAGTGCCACCAGTACAGATCTATCACAATAAATGATAGCCACAATAGAGAAATACAGGTAGCCACAATGGTCATCATTGAGTAGCGAGGCCACATAAAGTCATCGCGGTAGAATAAGGACACATCAAGTCATCGTTGACAGACGAGACTACATTACACATCGCACAAAGGCGAAGACCAATCTAGCCAAAACAAATAGCGCCACCACAATGCACATAAGGCGAGTGAAAAACAACTACACTACTTCCAGAAGGGATTCGCAAATCAACTCCCAGTGGCACCCAGGCCAAGACCACCTACAAAATTCATCGGACAGTGAGGTACTAGCATCCACACATCAAACACTAAAAGGGCTAGCTGCAACCGACGCTAGAGCCAACATGTCCAAGATACATAAGCTGAGCTGCTAGATTGATTAGGTGTATCTTTGATGTATCCAGTGTTTTCCTTCGCTCACAATTAGTACTACGATCTACTGATATTCCTTTCACTTGTAATTGAGATGTCTTAGGTTCGGCGTATCAATTAAGGATTAGAAAATATCATTATTTTTTTTAGTTCCATCAAGTTTAATTAGTGTTCATTCATTGCTTATACATATCAACTAAAAATTAGAAAATATGATTAATTTTTTTTATTCCCATAGTGACAAGGGTAATAAATAAGAAAAACACATCACGATTAATATGAAAACACTTTAAAAGTTCATATAGAAGGAAAACAAAACTCATAATCTATCTACCTGTAAGCCCAGAGTTTTTTGGTTCCCTTCTCTCAATACAAAATAAATTAGTTTTTCCGTATTTCTAAATTATTGAGTTTGAAGTGCTTTTCTAAGTATAATTTTATTGAAATCTTACGTATGAAAACAAATAGTTTTTTTTATATGAAGGTAGAGTACATTTTAGCGTCACCCCGGGCCTCAAAATTCTCAGGACCAGTCCTCTTGCTTTTGAGCTAGCTAAGATGTGGGTCTTTCCAAGCATGATGGCCGGAGTTGGCAGTAAAAAGCAAAAAAAAACCGACAATGACTTTAGAGACGAATTCTTAGTATGAGCTTGTAAAGAGAACAAAGATGAAAAGAACACTAATTAATTTGGTATTCGGACAGAATTTGAATTCAATGACCATGTTTTTGAATGTGAATAGAATGGAGAGGGGCGGGCGAGTAGGCCCAAGACTGTGACCTTGCTGCAATTATTTTCATTAAATTATTATTTTTTAAATAAACTATTTTAAAGGTCAGTTTTTGATATGCTCTTAATCGTATCAGGGTGTCCAGAGAAACTTGAAAATTAATTTGGGGTGCGCAAAGTAATTAGTGTCCACAGAAGGAGTTGTGGGTGTACAAAAAATTAAAAAACCACTGAAAAAATGTGAACTGTATTTTCTAAGGCCCGTTTAGTGAGCCTCAGCTACTTTGTTGGGCCTTTGTTCCGAAGTCCAAAATTAGATATTGGAGCCCAGTCCATCAATGTATTACTTTATCAGGTTAACTATACAAACACCCGTTGAGGTTTATCAAATTTTCACAAAACTCTTTCACGTTTGAAGACATTATACAAACACTTCTTGGGCGACTTTTGCTGAATTACTTTTAGTGATAAGTCAGTTTTGTCTCGGATCGGCTCTACTGAGAACCCAAATTATTTTATGCGCATGAATTTGCATGATTTATTTATTTTGATCGAATAATTGGATAAATATATAATTTTTAAATTTTGGGTCAGAAGGATCCCAGTCCTCTGGCTAGCGACCTGCCCCAGTTTAAATGGTCCGGGACAATAAGGCTTTGTAAAATCCCTAGACTTTCCTTGCAGATTAAGAGGGCCCACTCGCACAGTTGTACCGTACAACCTTATCTAATGTATTTGTCAAGCAAAACTGATCATACAAATTTGTCATGAATATCTTGTAACACTACGATACTTTGGATTGCAATACATTTTTAAGTTTGGAATAATTATGTATATCTAAATTTCGTTTTTACTAGTTCTTACAATTTCAGGAGAGAGAATTTTCGTCGGATTCTTTTTGTAAGGCTTTGTAAAATCCCTAGACTTTCCTTGCAGAGTTATTAAGAGGGCCTAATCGCACAATTGTACCGTACAACCTTATCTAATGTATTTGTCAAGCAAAACTAATCATACAAATTCGTGATGAATGTCCCGTAACACTACGATACTCTGGCTCGCAGTACATTTTTAAGTTTAGAATAACTATGTATATCTAAACTTCGTTTTTACTAGTTCTTACAATTTCAAGAGAGAGGATTCTCGCCGGATTCTTCTTGTGAGGATCCTCAGGATCCTCCAATTACATTCATTCATCGTACATTGTGCAGTCATTTTTCATTAGGTACTATTTATATTCAATTTTAAACAAAAAAATTTTGCAATGATTTCTGACCATACGATGTACGTGGAACAGATGTCATTTGAGGATCCGGTGAGGATCCTCACTCCAATTTCAGCTACCTAAAACATGTTCATGGCAGATTGATAAAAACAGAAGCTGAAATGTGTCCACATTATTTGATAACCTTGTTGAATTGGTTTTGCCGTGTTATCAAGTCAGGAGAAAAACTTACATGTGATGAGAGTTTATTCTATGGATTATATTAGTTTCACTCATAATGCTCATTCCATGAGAAAAAGTTTGATGGGATATATTCTCGTTTCTATTTCACTCGAGTAATTTGACCACTCGCTATATGATAAGTGAGATAAAGACAGATGATACATAAATACTGCATATTCCCTCTTAAATGAGAAACTTAATATGTTTAGTGTTGGTAACATTTGGGCATGTTATGCAACTTGCATCTGTTTTAGGGACACATTACTTCTCTAATTTGAGAATTGTCAATGGTACTCTCGCGAAAGTGAAATTCTTCATAAACTCTCCATTTTTTCACATGTTTTATAATATGGATGCATAAATTAATGTTAAACTATAATGTAGCAAATAATCTATTATGAGTCTCGCGTTTAAGAAATATCGAATCTATTATGAGTCTCACTTTTAACAAATATCCCTTGTGATATCTGTTCTAATTTATATATAAACTATCGGTAACTTTGGATTATTTATGGTCTAAGCTACCCCACAAAATGGGCAAATGTTGGGGGTGTGGTTTCCAACTTGCAACAACGTCCCTGTAAAATACAGCACAAATGCGTGTGTGTGTGTGTATATATTATAAATACATAAAGTCATATAATATATATATATATATATATCTATATGCAGATAAAACACTGTGCAGAACTTGACTGGTTCTTCTTTTGTTTGCTTTGGCAGCATATCATGACTCGTTCTTTGGCAGAAAAGCACCTTGAAGTATAAACCTTTATCTTTAAAACAAAGCTATCCATCCATCACTCACTCGGTCTTCGCTTCGCTTTCACACGCACAAAATATTAAATGTTCTTCACCTTCCCCCTCCTCCAAATACAAAAACAAAACAACATCCTATTTTTATAAATTATTATTTGGGATCTCTTGCTCTCTCTCCGCCCTTTACCAATATTTCTGTCTCTCTCTCTCTCTCTCTCTCTCTCTCTCTCTCTCTCTCTTAATTTTTATTTATTTTTGTTGGTGTGCGGCCGGGGGTTCTGATTTGTTGAGCTGTTGAGCTGAGCTTTACCCCAGCTGCCTTGTATTGACTTGCCTTAGATCATGGGGAGCTCGTTTTTTCCTTGGATGCTCCTAAATTTTTCTGCAGGATATCTGGTCTCCCTTTAGCAACACCAGAAAGCTACAAGGATCTGTTTGCATAGGTTGCCAGACTTTTCCTGCAGTGATATATGAGAGGTAAGTTTTTTTCTTTTTTTTCCAAGTGAATTGAATTTTCTAGTTTTTTATTTTTATTTTTTTTATTTTTTTATTTTTTTATTTTCTTGTGCATGCCAATGAATTGAACTGTTGGCCATAATTCAGGTGACTGGAATTGGGATTCTGGGGTTTCAAGATTTTGGTGGTTTCTTCAAGAATTTGAATCCTTGGATTTTTATGTTAATTGGTTTGACTTTTGTATTCTTGTGTCTTAATGTTTTGCCTGAGTGAATTGGTTTCTGCAAATTTGACCAGAGTTGGAACATGAATGCTTAAAAGTCAAAGGTTCGAGGGCAAGTGGTGGATTGTCTTAGAGCCTTCCTCTTCATCCCACCATAGCCTGTGTTCGAACCCTCCGCCTCTAGTTTAGAGTAGAAATATCGCTTGTAATAAAAATAAAAGGATCAAGGTTTGAGGAAGTTTCTGGTACATCAGATGAAAATTTAGGTTGTGTTTGTATCAATTTAAATAGATTTTTGGTCTCCTTGAGACTTGAGAGATGGAATTTTTCCGAATATATCGAAAAAGAGAACAGTTCTGTGAGCAATCTCAAAAGTTCTTTGAGACTTGATAGATTTTTGGTTTAAGATATGACTGGTTGCTAATTGAATGTGTGAAGAGGGATTTTCGGAATAAATCACTTGAGTTTTGATTAAAGTGCAAGATTTTTGTTTTATATCCGAAATTCTTGACCTGATGAAAATTTTGTTTAACTATTGCAGTGAGGTCATCGCTTTCTGCCGGCAATGAAGTGTTTTTATAAATTCTCCAACAGAGATAAGGATGATGAACCAAAGACTACTAAGTCTATCTCTACTCGTTCAGCTTCCTCATTCTTTTCACTAGATCGTGACCCAAGAAAATCAAGTTCTGAGTTCAATTCCCAGAATACCACTGCAGAACTTAGCACAACATCGTCCACTAAGTCATTTGCAGCATTGTCGCAGAGACAGAGTAATAATCTCAGAGAATTCACATGCTCGGAGTTAAAAGCAGCAACAAAGAACTTTAGCCTCTCCCTCATGCTTGGAGAGGGTGGGTTCGGCGGTGTGTATAGGGGTAATATCCGGAGTGCAGAAGATCAACATAAAAGAATAGATATCGCTGTTAAACAACTGAGTAAACGGGGTTTTCAGGCAAGTCTTCTTCCTCTATGCTGGTATATATGCATAAGATATACACTAATCTGATGATAATAGTATGGTAATAATTGCTGGAGTTATTGAAACGAAATTAATAGCAGCATTGCGGTGAAACTTAGGTGGATTATGTATGTTAAGAATGCGATGCATTATTAAACTTTTGACGACTACTGCACAATTTCACACAAGAATGAGTATGTTCTCATAAAAACCTAGCATACGATACTCAAATAACAAACTATGAAATGATAATAACTTGTAAATTATCTTGCTCAAATGATAATGACTTGCAAAGTTAGGTTGCTCAAAGCTCGGAAAAATGTTATTTATTGTGTTCAGAAGTCTACAAACAAAACAATGTGAATGTAAACAAAAAGTGGGTGCCTATGCAACCCATTTCTTCAAGTTGTTTGATATTTTCAATTTTGTTACCCTCTTTCATATAACAGGGCCATAAAGAGTGGGTGACTGAAGTCAATGTTTTAGGGGTTGTTGTACATCCAAATCTTGTCAAGCTGTTAGGCTACTGTGCTGAGGATGACGAAAGAGGGATTCAACGGCTCCTGGTTTACGAATATATGCCCAACAGAAGTGTGCAAGACCACTTATCAAGCCGATTTCAGATAGCTCTTCCATGGGGCACAAGAATGAAAATAGCCCAGGATGCTGCCCGTGGCTTAGCATACCTCCATGAGGGGATGGAATTTCAGGTAATTTCTAGTTCCCCCAGCCCTTATGTGCTACAGATCTCAATAGGATGCTCATGGTTATTCTCCCGAATGAGTGTCCATTCTGCTTTAACTTATTCTTTACTGTCATTTCTAAATTGTTATCTCTGTGGCAGATTATCTTTAGGGATTTCAAGTCTTCAAACATACTTTTGGATGAACAATGGAATGCCAAGTTATCGGACTTTGGATTGGCCAGACTTGGGCCTTCAGACGGATTAAGTCACGTCTCTACCGCGGTATGCATAATTAATTCATATACTTTAGACTCTATTCTCAAATTGGTACTAATTAGACACGTCAATAGGCAAAACAGATGTCTGACTTAAGCATGCAGAGTTGATTGAGCAATCAAAAACCATGTAACAGTTTCCAATAAGTTCTATGTATTCACTTTCCGATTGATCATTCTACAGGTTGTTGGAACAGTTGGATATGCAGCTCCTGAATACATTCAAACTGGGCATCTCACAACAAAAAGTGATGTGTGGAGTTATGGAGTTTTCCTTTTAGAACTCATCACAGGCAGACGACCTCTGGATAGAAACCGACCCAAGAACGAGCAAAAACTCTTGGAATGGGTGAGGCCACACCTCTCTTCAGACCTAAAAAAGTTCCAGGTGATTTTGGATCCAAGGCTCGAAGGAAAGTATTCCCTCAAGGCAGCCCAAAAACTAGCAGCTGTAGCCAGCCGATGCTTGGTGCGACACCCTAGATCGCGCCCCAAAATGAGTGAAGTCTTGGAGATGTTGAACCGAATCATGGAGACAACGGACATGGGAAGCCCGGAACTCCCTCTGCAGGGTGTGGACTCCAAAGAAGACTATTTTGCGGAATCCAAAAGAGAGTATTTGATGAGGAGGTTTGTGGATCCATTCATCGGAGAGAACGGTTGCTTAAATTGGCCAATATGGAGACCAAAGATTGTAAATCCATGTTGAAAGAAGTTGAGGAGCATACTGGGAATTGGCAGAATTGCTAATTTTGATCAGGTGATGACCTCATTAGGTGACAACGTTTGCTTCTTTTTTGTTTTGCTCATGTGATGGAAAATCTGCTCTATGGTATACTTATTGGGAAATGGAAGTGTAAAGTTGTATTGATCTCATATATATATACATATAGATGGGTACTTGAACTATTCTGATTGGCCTCCCAGAGGCTCTTGGCGCCATCGGAAGAATAACGCTTCAGTGAAACTATCATCTTAATCAATTTCGAATACATACTAACTGAGAACACATGTACGGACATGTGTTCTCAGTTAACAATTTGGTACCGCTAAGGCTTACGTTATGAAAGTGTGAAAATCAACCCTTCTGTTGTTGCACTGTTTGGAAAATTTGTGAAGTGATCTTGTGATGGCAATCTGCTCTATTGTTGTTGCTGAAATCACACTCCCCGCAGAGAAAATGTCCAGATCGACAACAGTTTATATGGTGAAGTTCCAACAAATACAGCATGCTTATAGAATGGTACAATCTGTTGTGTGTGTACATAAGAGCATCTCTAATAGAGATCCTAAAAGAGTCTACCATCGTATAAACGTAATATTTAGGAACAAAAGGTTTCCAATTGGCTGGCGAAAAAGTCCCTACAAAGGTATAGGGACTCGTCGAAGTTCCTATAAAAATCCTCAAATATAAGGTTGCGAACGGGGAATAATACTTAGGTACTTACATTTTAGATTTGACCCAATATTTTTTTAACACATGTTTTATTGTTTTAAAAAATAGTGCACATGTTATTTAAATTTTCTTGAATTTTTGAAAGCAATAAACACGTGTCATCTTTTGATTGACGAAATAAAAAAATAAGTATATATGAGACTCACTAATGATTGTCTAAGTATTATCCGGATATAGAGACTCTAACCGGTGAGACCTAGTTTGAAAAATTGGAAAAAGTGGGCTTGAACGCACGTGAATGCTGAAGTAGCAAAGCACAACATCAATGTGGGCCCCACAAGGTACACGCTATCGACCCTTCTTTTTTTGCTCCGTCAAAATCAACATATTGGATTGTTTCTTATGGTTTTTTGTATTTATCGCTGGAGATCAACCAACTACTTTTCAAACTCTCAATTTGTTTCTTTTCCTTTTATTTATTTATTTAGGAATTCTACAATAGGGACTTCTCCATTGGAGAAAATATTCTTTTAGGGACCCGAATATTCTTGCTGAGTCCTTAAAACGGTCCTTAACACCGGTGGTGAAGACTATTGTAAATTGAAATAGAAAGAAACGAAGTTACCCGAAAAATGTAGAAGCCTTTAGCGGTGAATGATTCTTAGAATGAGTCGCGGACTAAGTCGCTCTCTTGAAGACGTTTTGCGGCTCTGCCCAAAGTGTGCAAGCAGTTTTACAAACACCACGTCGTCTCCAAGATAAAACAGCCCAGAACCTTCTTCTTCTGATAAGATTCTTCCTTACACGCCGAAAGAACCTTTGAACTCACACCCTTTCAATATGTTGCTATTAACTCAATATATGTAAAACTTGTATTTTTTCTTATTTCTTTCTCTGCGATACTTGGGACTAATATATATATATATATATATATATATATATATATATATATTATGTAAAGAAAGAGATGTCGGAATGGAAAAACCGTAAGAAAGACAAAGGAGTTATTTGGGGTGCAAAACTGTAGGAAATCAAAACAAAACTGTAAGGTATCAAATGCAGAAGAAAACAAAACGGACAAAATCAAAACGTTCAAATCAATTATGTAAATAGACTTGATCTTCTTCTCTATTTAGAGAAGAAATCCCATCTTTTCAAACTTAAAAGGAGATCACTCCATATCTGATTGAAAAGTCAATGGCATGTTTCAAAAAAGCTGTAACTCCTTATCTCATTGAAAAGCCAAAATCAATTGACTGTTATGCATAGAATAATGATAATAAAACAAACGTTATGTATATAATATGGGTAATAAAACAAAACATAAATATATAAACATATATATTATTAAATAAAAACATAACTGCTCCAACAATCCCCCACTTGTTTTAATTTAAAAAAAAATATATATAAAGCAACATATCATAAAGCTATGCATAAGTAAACGTGTTTCTCAACTTGAACTTGTACATAGTGTTAGTGATCTAGAATATCTTAGAGTCACTTATAGTTTTGAACTCTATCTCTGACAACACCACATACATAACTTTATTAAGGTGAAGTTCAAAAAGCCAGCACATTACAACCTTGTGCTTATATCCCAGTATAGTGAACGCTCTAGAAACTTGCCCAAGATTTCATAGGAAGCGGCCTCATTTCCACATTCACATAGGTAAGACTATCAAGGATATTCTTGTAGCTAGATATCCTACTCAACATAGAGTATAGACCTTACTAAGAGAAAAATTGTCAACCTAAAAACGCTTCAGGATGTCATGCTTCTTAGGGATGAACATGGAATAATATTCCAAATTAAAATTAGCAAGACTTCACTCATATCACTTGTGACTTGTTATTACCCTTTGAACCTATTTCTTGGGATCTCCAATCTATAGGTTGGGTTATTATCACAAATGACTCAATTTTCTATGGGTTTTAGTCCCATCCCTTTCGAGGTTTTCCAAACCTTTTCTCATGCTAGTCTTTTCGTCAAAGGATCAGCCAAGTTTTCTTCAGACCATATATGATCCACTCTTACAGCTCCATAAGAGATTACGTTGTGCTATCACGATGGATCAAAACTGATGGAATCAGTTTCTTCCCATAAAGGGCTATCTATCAATATGTTCATAAATTTTAGAAGAATTAGAACCCCCACTATTTTGAAGATTAAAGGAACTTTATTCTCATAAAAATCAGCATCAAGTGACTCAATTATTACATTTTAATAGCATCAACATTCAATTTAAACATTCCATCAGTAGCATATCCCTTTCCCACAAAAATCCCATTTTTAGTAAGAGTATACATATCTGCTCCAATGGTTTGAGTAAATCCAACTTTGTTGAGAAGAAAGCCAGAGCCCAAATTCTTCCTTATCGTTGGAGCATACATCACATCTTTCAGTATCATGGTTTTTCCAGAGGTGAATCTCAGCTCCACCTCTCCAGTACCAACAACATCAATTGAGTGTGAATCACCCAACAACACCTTCCTTCCCTCAGCCACAAAATAGGTCTTGAAAAGGGAACGATCATAGCAAACATGGCGAGAAGCGCCAGTGTCCACCCACCACCCCTCGGATCCATCAACAAAGTTGATTTTTGATATCATTACAATCAAATGCTCTTCAACAAGATTTTCTTGTGGAGCAGGGTTTTTCTTATTTCTGCAATTCCGGGCAAGATGGCCCAGCTTGTGCCAGTTATATCATTCAAACTGTCTTGAATCAAAAACAGCACATGAGGGGGGTTGGTACCTATTCTGAGGATGAGAGGGATTTTGATTCTGAACCTTGTTTGTGTTGTTGTTGAGGCGTTTGTTGTTATTCTTGTTCTAAATCTTCATGTTCTTCCCATTTGGCTTTAGCACAGCTAGAGTCTGGTTCTGGTTGAAGTTGGTAGCCTTCTGGTTGCTTGACACGACCAGAATTTCCTCATTCAATTCTTGTTTCCTGGCCTCTTCCTCAATGCGAAGTCGAGTGATCAAGCTTTCCAGGGAGAACTCTTTTGTCTTGTAGCGGAGTGAGTTCTTGAAAATTTTCCAGGTTAGTGGCAATTTGTCAATGATGACAGCAACCTGAAATTGATCATCTAAAACCATGCCTTCAGAAATAATTTCATGAGCAATTTTCTGTAATTCATGAGATTGTGCTTCAACAGATTTATCATCAACCATCTGATATTTCAAATAACGACTAATAGCAAATTTCTTAGCCCCAGCTTCCTCAGTGTCATATTTTTTCTGAAGTGCCTCCCATAAATCTTTAGCAGTGCCATAATCAGAGTAGTAATCATAAAGGTCATCAGACAATCCATTAAGAATATAATTCTTAGCAAGAAAATCATTTTCAATCCAAGTTTGTGAAGCTTTGGTTTGTGCAATAGTGGGCTCTTCAGGGAGAGTTGGTTTGACGGTGGTGCAAAATGAAGCCAATTTTTTTTGTGGTGAGAAAAAATAACATCTTCTGCCTCTAACGCTTAAAGTGGAGACCCTCAAACTTGGAAGGCTTGTTAAGGTCTAGTGTGGTGTTGTTTTCAGATTCCATGGCAGATTGTTACCGTCTTAAAATTGTTGTAAACTGAAATAGAAAGGAACAAAGTTACCCGAAAAATGTAGAAGCCTTGAGTGGTGAATGATTCTTGGGATGAGTCACGGACTAAGTCGCTCTCTTTAAGACGTTTTGCGGCTCTGCCCAAAGTGTGCAAGCAGTTTCACAAACACCACGTCGTCCCCAGGATAAACAGCCCAGAACCTTCTTCTTCTGATAAGATTCTTCCTTGCACACCGGAAGAACCTTCGAACTCACACCCTTTCAATATGTTGCTATTAACTCAATATATGTAAAACTTGTATTTTTTTCTTATTTCTTTCTCTGCAATACTTGGGACTAATATATATATATATATAATGTAAAGAAAGAGATGTTGGAATGGAAAAACCATAAGAAAGAAAAAGGAGTTATTTGGGGTGCAAAACTGTAGGAAATCAAAACAAAACCGTAGGGTATCAAATGCAGAAGAAAACAAAACAGACAAAATTAAAACGTCCAAATCAATTATGTAAATAGACTTGATCTTCTTCTCTATTTAGAGAAGGAATCCCATCTTTTCAAACTTAAAAGGAGATCACTCCTTAACTGATTGAAAAGTCAATGGCATGTTTCAAAAAAGCTGTAACTCCTTATCTCATTGAAAAGCCAAAATCAATTGGCTATTATGCATAGAATAATAATAATAATAAAAAAAATGCTATGTATATAATATGGGTAATAAAACAAAACATAAATATATAAATATATATATTATTAAATAAAAACATAACTGCTCCAACAGAGACTCTAAAGTATCCTTCTCCCCACTTAGAGCAATTGGAAGGGGTCGGGCCATGGAAGAAACCCCCATGCTTGTCCCCTATGAACACGAGTCAAGATAATCCAATCAGGTGTTAACATGGTTACAATCCTCAAATAAAGCATCTTAACGAAAACCTAGAAGTTCCTCAAACCAAAACGTTTCACTAGTGATATCTTGTAATCAGCCAGACGGTGAGAAATTTTATTAACTTGCCATTTAATGTAGTGAAACGTGGTAAAATAATATTACAATTTGAAAAAACTAAGGTACACATGAACATATAACTATATATTTGACCTTAAAATCTTTGAAATTGCTATTTAATGTAGTGAAACGTGGTAAAATGATATTACAATTTGAAAAAAACTAATGTACACATGAACAGATAACTCTATCTTTGACTTTAAAATCCTCGAACACCCTCCCCTCTCCTCCTCTCTCTCTCTCATGCCACTCGATTTGATATTAAGTGTTAATAATTACACACATCTTATAATATACATAACTCATCAAGCACAAAAAAGATTATCAAAATAATGATGTAATCATTTCTCCAACATGCTTTGGAGTCATCATTACAAAATTCTCATGCTTTGCAGTCATCATTATAGAATTTTCAACACATGTATTATTATTTTATAAGAAATTTTAACGAAAAGTTTTAACGAAAAATCATATTTTACACTAAAAATTCAAACCTGGTACTATTCATTTTACCCTTTATTTTGTTTTTATCGTTAAAACTAAAAATTTTCAAACATTTTTTTTATTAATTTTTTTATTTTTTATTTTATAATATTAATACAAAAATTAACACCAAGCTGAAAGAAAATCTTTCTCCTTACCATCAATCCGTGTCACTACAACACGTGACTGTTTTTGTTTTTGTTGGAATGTCATTTGATACCCTAAATTATTCGATTTTCAGGACGATTGTTACAAGGGTCAAAGATTTTGGCTACATTTGTACCTCCCTTGTCTCAATTATATTCTCATCTCCTACTACTAGGCCCAAGGACGAACTCCGCATACCAACCTTGACAACCAACACGTGGCATAGTACGGGGACCTGGAGATCCCGTTGACTAATGTCCGCGTGTCAGATCATCATGGGGCCCGGTTCGTTTCCCTGTGCTTCAGGTTCCCATTACAAAAAGCGAGCCGTACATAAACCCCAACGGGAATTTTCCATTTTCTACAAAACACGCAAACCCGACGGCGGTTTCTAATTTCAACAAACACCTTCTTATCTTCCTCCCCCCAGGTGGCGTGTGCATTCACGACCCCTTCCCGTTTGGCTCCCTGGATTCTTCCGACCCCAATACCGTAATTTGGATTCAAAGGTGGTTTTTTTTTTTTAGTTTGCTGGGTACGTTGTAAATTCAAAGTTTGAAGCTTTTCTGGATTCGATTTGAACAATTTGGATTCTTTGGGATTAGGGTTTTGTGATTCATGTTCTACTCTGTGGAATTTCAGTTTTCAGGACTTGATGCGCAATTTATTTGTTTCTACTTTTGGATTTTACTGTTGGGTTGGTATAAAGTTCCCATTTTTGATTGAAATTGTGGATAGATTTTGAGGAAATCGATTATATGATTGCGAACTTAGTTTAATAGATTGCAAATGATGTTGTTTCCAGTGTTATGTTTATACCCTTTTCGAGTTTTTTTTCGGTTATTGAAATTTAATGGGGTTGCTAGGTACTTGAGGAGCAGAGGTAGTGTTGCTATATAGATGTTACACAAGCAGATGACAACATATAATCTTGATCCCGACGTGGTTCGATGGGGTCTCCATCTCTTGGATGTTTGCACGATGTCGAATGATAATTCTCATAGTACTGTTACGCAATACGACCAGGATTTTAGTCAAGTAGAGTATGTTAGAGAAGGTTATGTTGAGCCTTGTAATGTGGAGAATGATGAGATTATAGCTCAAGCTTATCAAGAAGAGTTGTCAAGGCTCACTTCTGTAGAAAAGTCAGGAGCTTCTGGTTATGGAGATGGGCAGTTAGAAGCGTCAATTCTTGCGCAGGATTGGCTTGGTGCTTCAAATAGGCACAATGGTACTGGTATGGGATACCGCAAGTTGACATTCTCGTTTAGTTCTCTGATTTGTGTTTCTGTATTTGTTCTCCTTATTGTGATGAAATGTTGGAAATCTGTAGGGCTTGAAAATGTTCAGGATGCAGTAAATTACTTTGGCAGAAATATGGATACCGATGATTATAGAAATAAGCAACATGAGGCGCATGATCCAAGGAGAATTGGAAACAACGAAGCAAATGATCACTGCGAAGGAGAATACTCAATTAATGGGGAAGACTTTTTGCACTTGCTGGACATAACAGATGAATCTTCTCTTGATGGTGAAGTAGGGAGAAGATTGAATCAGATGGCTTCGGTACCTGTAAGTTTAACTTTTATGGCGTCTTGGGGCTGCCATTTAATTATCGAAAGATTATTCATATCATCTGCTAGTGATCTATCCGAATATATAAATCAGTGCTTTTGGTTATTAGGTCCTGCCATATTGTTTCTGTTTTGAATTGGGTAAATCGCTATCTTTATCTCTCTCTGAGAAAAACAAAACAGAACAGAAGGATAAAACAATTGCATGCATTCACACCAAGTTGTGAGCTAGGGTTATACAAACTAAACGAAAATCTGTTTTCATCTTGCCAAAAAGAATAACTTTGTGTATAATATGTACTTGTACTTAGGACACACGTCCTGTGAGCAGACTGCTCAGTGTTTGGAACTTTCTTCTGCAGTCATGATAAACTGAGCACGGGCAATTTTAAATTGGTAGAAATTAGTTTCTTATATTTTTATTTGGGGGATGGTGTGAAAATAGATCAGATGTCCATTGTCATTCATAACAATCTTATAAGAACTGAGGAAATGAAATCTTGAAGAACTGATGAAACGAAATATTGAGGAAGAAGAAAATGAATTTCTGTATTTTTCTGTAAGTTTTTGCAGTTACAATATTCGTTAATAGGAAAATAATAAGAATAGGTATTTATACTTTCTATATTGCTTACAACTGAAGCTACTTTACAAAACCAACTGCTGACATGGTACTGCGAATTGGGGTAACTCAGTTTAAGTTTAAGTTTGAAAATGTCGAAGGAAATCAGAACCATGAAGTGATTTTGTCAAGACATCTGTAACCTGCTCGTGTAGGAACTAGGAACATATTGAACTTCCAAATATCCCTTCTGTACTCGCTCTCAGACAAAATGGAAATAAGTTTCCAAATGTTTTATCCTGGAATGTTGACCAGGATTCAGACATAGAATTGGTGGTGTAGGCAACACAGCATGCACATCTATTTTTGTTTTTTTGTTAGCAAACTTGATTGCAGCCTGCCATTACAAAATTTTAATATTTGTTTTTCTTGCAAAATGGGATTCACACTATGATCATTCTTTTGGCAGCATATTCCTAAAACGAACGAGAAATTACCCTCAGAGGATGAAGAGATATCAGATCATCAGAGGCTTTTAGAAAGGTATTTTATGTTATTTCCCTGTATTATATACTTAAGTTGTAAGAGTAATCAATTGTTGCCAGGGACGTGTTGTCAAAGTGTATTTCGGTCTCCGATTTTTTCATAGACTTGACTTGTCAATTTCTTATGTTATAAAAAGGGATACAATTCAAGTATATAGCTGTAACATGATATTGAACTAGATCCTGTATATTGCTGCTGATTCTCATGATGGTCAACCCTTACCACTTAAAATTACCAATAAAAAGCGCTTGTCAAAACTGTGGAAGGGTTCCTGTACTGGCCGTTAGATTATTGTGATTGACATGCAATCAGAGTCAACTTGAAAAGTTAAAAACATATTGATATCACTCCAAACACATAATGTTTGTGTGTCCTGGGAGCTATAGTGTCATTGCTTCCAATTATATTTTTCCAGATTATATTCTGTCATTTTTTTTATGTTCAGTCTTTGTGTGTGCGCTTGTTTTTTTTAACCCTGTTGGTGTAATTTTATTAAATATGAAATTGGTACTGAGTGTTTCACTTGGGATGTCTGATCTTTTTCTTTTTTTTTTAACAGACTGCAGTTGTATGATTTGGTGGAGTGTAAGGTCCAGGGAGATGGTAACTGTCAGGTTGGTGTTATTTTACTTTTAATTTCTTATGCTTGAAAATCTTGAAGTATACTGCATAGTTACACATTTTGCCTCTTTGCTGTTAGACATAAACGATCGGTCTATCATTTTTCCTTTAATTTTGAATGATAAACAAGAATTTACCGAGCTTCCAATTTTTGTTGAAGTACATCAATGTTCACAATGAATAATCTGATGCAATCTAGAGTGAGACAACTTTCCCATTTCTACACTCGTTCGATACTTCTTTCTTTCTAGATTGTAAATGCACTGCACAAATGTATATATGTTTTTACATGTAGTTTGACATATATAACTGTATGCTATCTTTGTTATGACTTGCAATATTGCAGAGTCCTCTTCTCAGTTAAGTTGATAGTGTTGCTATTGTCTTATTTTCCTAGTTTCGTGCTTTATCTGATCAACTATATCGTTCTCCTGAATACCATGGTGTTGTAAGAGACCAAATTATTCAACAGGTTGGTTGGCATTTCAGTAAGTTGATCTTTAGTAGTTAAATTTAAGTTATTCGGTGTTGCAGATGATATCTAGTATTTTAACTCTTTTTACTCATCTTTTTAATGTCTCAGCTGAAGAGTCACCCCGAAATGTATGAGGGTTATGTTCCTATGGGTTATGCTGATTATCTAAAGAAGATGAGCAAGTATTGTGCTAGTCTCTTTTTCCATGATTTTCTATCCTAAAGCTTACGTCTTTTTCTTGCTTATTTACTAATGCTTATTGACATGGATGAAATAGGAATGGTGAATGGGGTGATCATGTCACATTGCAGGCGGCCTCAGATTCGGTATAAGACTTGATCTATTGCTTTTACGTGGGTGTTCGTCAGGTCGCAGAGAAACTTATTCATTTGTCAACTGACATATCCACTCTTTTATTGCAGTATGGTGTAAAGATATTTGTAATAACTTCCTTCCGGGATACATGTTACATTGAGATCCTTCCACACGTTGAAAAATCCAACAGAGGTAACGGTTTTAGAAGTTTATATGTTTCCTTCCTTCATCCCCCCTTTAATCGTCACTATTCGGTCATGTTTGCTTATAGTTCACTTGTGCAGTTATCTGCTTGAGCTTTTGGGCTGAGGTGCATTACAATTCAATTTATCCCGAAGGAGGTAAATGAAAATAATCGGTTTTGACATACATCTACTGGGATTAAAAAGGACAAATGAAATGATAATATTGGTGTTAACATTTGTTATCTTTCCGTTGTATTTTGTTATCGTGTTCAGAACTTCCTCCCCCGAGCTTAAAGAAAAAGAAGAAATGGTGGAAACTTTGAGACCAGGAATCGACATTTGCAACGAGTTTTAGTTTTCGGTTGAGGAAGCTTCAGTTTCGTGTTGACGTTGTCTATATTGGCTCCTTGGAGCCGGGGCAGAATGGCGTTCCCTTGCTTGTTTCTGCTCTTCTGCATTTGCACCGAAAGATGATTCTTCACCGAGTTCTTGTACATGTTACATATTCTTTGATTTAGATTGTTTTTTTTTAACATACCTTTGATATAGAGGATTTGTCATTTCTTAATGTAAATAAATTCATCCTTTTTATTCTCAAATATAGTAAATCTTTCTTTCCAATCAATTTTGTACCTTTGCGTAATGTTTAGAAATGTTATAAGAAATTGGAGAAAATTAGAAGTAGACTTGATGCAAAACTAAGCGTAGTGGTGTTTTAATATTTATATAGCTGAACAAAATCAGAATACTTAAAAACTTAGTTAAATAAGGTTTTGTTGTTGTTGTTGTTTTGGACAAAATCAGAATACTTAAAAACCTTTTAAAACGAGGGGAATATATTTCCGCTTGTATGCTAGAATCTCCCATAGCACCATGGGAATGGACATGTGATCATTTGGTTATGGTGGTTTGTTATTTAGAAATTTATAGAAAATTAAAAAAAAAGAGGATCATTTATGGTTAGTACTGATTTTTCTTCTGGAATTTGAAGAAATGAAAATTTGTGGCGCTAAAAAATCTAGGAGGATTCGGAGATTGTGTCCGTTCATCGTACATCGTACGGTCAGTTTTTGTCAAATACTATTCATATTTAATTTAAAATAATTTCTGACCGCACGATGTACGATGAAAGGACACGATTTGAGAATCTCTAGAATCCTCACAAAAAAGATTCGGAGAGGGTCCTCATTCCTAAAAAAAAAAATGTTATGATGTAAACCAATTTTGATTAAAATATTATTAATCAAGGGGTCCATAGCTCAGTGGTAGAGCATTTGACTGCAGATCAAGAGGTCACCGGTTCGAACTTGGTTGGGCCCTTTTTAAACTCATTTTTAAACTGTTTTTCTAATTATAAGAAAATAAGGTAAATTACATAAAACTATTTCAACTATTGAGTCAGTTACAGTTTCATACCCCATCTTTAAAAAATGTCAATATCATACCTCATCTACGAATTTGTTACAATTTCATTTGTCTGTCAAAATGTTAACGTGGCTTGAGGTGGAACCCACTTTCTATTAAATATTAACTAAAAATAAAAAAAAAAAAAAATAAAATAAAATAAAACCAAAAAACCAAACCCAGATCCCCCTCCCCCTCCCCTGAAACTCCCCATCCCCTTCCCACTAGTTGAGGTGGTCGACTTTGACAGGAAGGAAGTGTTGGGTGGGGTGCGACGATCTGGGTTCAAATTTGTTGTTTTATTTTTTTATTTTTGGTTTTGAATGGGAAGGGAGGTGAAGAGAGTGGAGGATAGGGAGGTGGTTGGGAGGCTCGGGAAGGAGAAGAGGGCTGGGGGGGGCGGGGGGGGGGGGTGTTGTGAAGGAGGTGGGGGTGGGGTTCTGGGTTTGGAATGAAGGTTTTGGGGGCCGGGGGAGGGGGGGGGGGGGACTGATGGGGAAGATGGGAAGGGGATTTGTTTGGGGGGGGGGGGGGGAGGGGTGGGGAACGGGATGTGCATTTGGTTTTTTTTTTTTTTTTTTTTAATTTTTTAATATTTAGTTAATATTTAATTGATTTGTTTTAATATTTAGTTAATTTTTTAATAGAAAGTGGATCCCACCTCAAGCCACGTCAGCGTTTAATGGAGAAATTGACAAATAACTGACGGAAGTATGAAATTGTAAGATGAGGTATGACATTGACATTTGTAATTTACCCAAGAAACTAAGTAGAGAGATCCATCTCAATTTTCTATTTACAACATATACCTTTTTTTTTTTTTATTTTTAATTTTTGAAAGGCTTAACCTTTTGTTCATTGAAAAAAAAATTACGAACTTTAAAATTCAAATGGCTTTTTAGCCAAAATAGTTCATGAGATTTGCATAATTCCTCACTTTGGTTCTTGGGATTTGAAATCAATAGAAGTAGTCCTTGACATAGTCCATCATCAATCATTTTGGTCATTCTATGAAAAATCTCCATTAAACAAAAATAAAATAACGAAAATATCCTCAATTTTTGTCAAATTATTTTGGCCTATTGTTCTGAATTGAGGGTTCATTTTGATCTTATTTAACATATTTTTTCAACAAAATGAGGAGTTATTTAAATTTCAGAGACCATTTTAGCTAAAAAGCCAATTCAGATTTTATATTTGCTTTTCTAACTAATCAAATTCCTACCAAAAAAATGCACAAGGTGTTTGAGAGGCATCTCCATATGTTTTATTTGTCTTTGAGGAACAAGACTTGCACTGCAATCCTCAAACAGGCTTACTGTGATGAGTCTGCCATCGGTACTCGGTAGGCATCCCTTTTGCGGGTGAGGATGAAGCACATTGCTTTGATGAGGGAGTCGGCCGTGATCTTGAAGAATCGGAGAGTGAAAATCCGATTTATTTAGCGTTTCGGAAAATGAAGATGGAAAGGAGATTGCAGAGTGTTCTTAGTCAATGATTTTCCCTTCATATCCCCATGGAAATGAATTCCACTTAAATGTTTGACAGGAGTTCAAAATTACCAAAATTAGAAAAGAAGTTGGAAATATTTTTTTATTCTATTCTGGAGACGTTGTAAACTACGAAAAATAGAATTCAAACTTCGTTGCAGAGGGAGGAACTATCATGAATCGGAGAACGAATTGTTATGGAATCAACTAACCTTCGATAAATCTAATTTCTTGTTATTGAATTATGGATTGGAGTTCTCTCTCTTTGAATGAAATAACAGACAAACATCTAAGAAAAAACTTAGGGAAAAGACAAGTGCAAAAAGACTAGTAACATGTATATCCTCGAGAAAATTGCAGTATATTTACACTAAGTAATTCTCAAAGTCGAAAGCCCCAACATATATAAACACTCCCTATTTACCCTCTCTTTCAAAATGCAGTTAACCATTTACACTTGAGAACGTAATACAGACACTGAACCTTGTACCGGTAAATTCTCGAGCCCAAGGGTGACCGTCTTCCATGCCGAGTTTTTTCATGGCCAGATTAGATCCGGCGAGCCAAAATATATACTAGGAGGCGGATAGACAAAAACATCATATCGCAGGGGCCTCCAGATTCCATGCTTATTTACAACTATAGCTTCTCTGTATCGATCGAACTTGCTAAGATCAATGTCCATGTTAGCTGTACAACAGGTGCATACTTATTCATGGTGGCAACAGGAAAAATGCCTTTTGCTCGCTCCAGATTGGGCTCCTCAAGAAGAATACGAAGCTGACAACCCTATGCGCCTTTCTGCATATGATAGATCAAAATCTGTTAGAGGTCTTGTACTTTGCAAATCTGTACAAGGAATACGTAGGAAAAGGCTCACCTCCAGTTGTGATGAGTTTCTCGACACGAGAAACGATATGTTTGCCATAGGTGTACTTCTTCAGGGCAGTCAAATGAACCTTAATGCGAGAAAGAATCAACTCAAGACTATGATCATCACACGTCTCAAGAACCTTTTGCACAACATAGTTTCCAAACGGATCCTTCATTATGGCCTGCACAATTGCATTTGAAATTTCTGGTTATGCATCAAAAAATTTGATCAACACGCTAATTTCATGTTAAAATTTCCATAGCTAGTATAGACTATCTTGAAAGCATATACTATCTTTGGTATGGAAAACGTTAATTTTAGACCTGTAAGGGCTCATTTTCATCAGTCGAACCCAGCATCTCATTCACTAAAAACTGACGCTCCTCAGCATTCCCAAAAGTTAAGCACTTCTCCACAACATTAGAAGCAAACTTCTGCTGACTCATCTTCACAATTTGTCCTGCAAGCTTGTGGATGATTGCAGTCCGTTCGTGCGGTTTACCATGTTCAAGGATGTGCTACCAAACATGAGTATTTATATTAGATACGCACAGTTGAAGATATGTACACGAGTATTTCCATCAGGTATATATAGTTGATGATGTTACATATCAAAAATAGCACAGGGTCTTAAAGCAAAGACATGACACGACTACTATCGGTTGTGAAAACAAAAGTGAGAACACACCATAAACCACATCGGCTTTCAATCAAAGAAAAAGACAATCAAATACCTTGGAATCCAGTTTTGTCTTAATGCTCAGAAGAATCTCAAAAAAGACATCACAGGAGCCATATCATGAATAGTATAAACTACAAGGCGTACGATCTATTCAATGAAAACAAAAATATAAAGTACCTCGGAATCCAGTTTTGTACACTTGCCCAGAATAATCTTAAACAAGAAGAATTCTGGTTATTAGGTTCATAATATTTGCTAAGCAATTAAGTTACTGCTAGGCCAATATGACCTCTCATGCACAAAAATCCAATGTTCTTTTTCCCTTTGTTTGGAAAACATGTCATCCAAAACAATGCACATTTTCTGGAACATAACTCGTTTAACAAAAACAAAATAAAACAAATCCATGGCTATCTATGGAAAAACTAAACAAATAAATATAACCCAGCAGCTCAACCATATATATACTGAGTATTGAATACCTGAATGACATAATTTCCATATTGATCTTGTGCCAAAATGCATACAGATTGCATGATTTCATCCATGATTTTTTGTTGCATGTTTGAATCATTGCAATGTTCCAGAACCCTCTGTAGGCACCAAAAGGGATCACACAAGTAATATATAAAGAATCCCTACACAGGGGAAGAAGATGCAAACACAACTAACCTGTATAACCCGGCAACCATAAGGATGAGTGGATAGTGCGACAACTTGCCCATAGAAGGATGAAATTATAAATTGGATTTTATCTTGAGTGATGCATTCTATACACTTCTGAATGACATGATTCCCATTCTGATCATGAACACATTTCATGATTGAACCATCAAGCTCCGACACCATCTGTGCCTGCTGATTCACATCAACTGCTTCCAAAGCCTGGTGTAAAACTTAGAGCATTTATACTTATTTTCCAAGTGCAATTCATCTCATACCAGAGTTAAACAATGCTTAAATAATATGATGATTGGGTCATTGTTTTTCTCCATGTGCCAAAGCATCGTTTCATAACAGAGGAGGGAAGCAGAGTAACATATACAGTCATCTGTCACAATGAAGGTTATACAAGACACTAGCATTGTGTTTATACGTAACATGTGGAAGGCATCTTTCTTGGATTTTTCTAACACTCCAATTTCATTTACAACTGTCTTTTTTCCTCACCCAATACGAACATCACATGAAGCTACTGCTAGGCAAATACAATATAATACATTATTTGCTCGTAGCAATGAAGCATGTAAGTGGCACGAGTAACAACATACACTATGATAGAAAGAGTTCTGCCAAAGTAAAAACTGGACAAAAGGAATTCATATACATGCTATGCAAATTTTGAGGCAGATCAAAAGTGTGAAGCTAACACGTGGAAAGGCATTGCTAAAAAGATAGAAACAAGTAGATCAAGATTTTGAGAATCTGGAAGTCACCTTCTGGATCACTCTACAACCATACATTTGAAGACTGAGAGGCAAAATATGGCCAGTAAGTTGGCTGGTTAATTCTTTTTTTTGGCTTTCTGTACCATGCTCAAAAAACTGCAATTTTCAAGAACAATAGAATTAATAATTTTAAATAGAAGGAAGGAAATTTCAAGTATTTGAAATAAAGAGATCAATCATACTTTCTGTACGACATAATTTCCGAATACATCAGTCATCAAGGTGCGAACATGAGGAATAATCTCTGGAAATATCTTCATTTTTTCTTCCACAGTGGCAGTTTCTAGTTTCTGCTGAATAAAGCGACTTCCATACTGGTCGGTACTACAATTTAGAGCAGAAGAAATTGAAGTCAGAATTGCTGCCAAAGCAACCTAAGAAGAATATACACTAAAGAAAACACTATATATACCTGAATTCCACTACATGATCAACAATGTCTGCAAGTTCAAAAGACTTGTTCTTGTTGTTCTTGAATTCATCTAATAATGATGATGCATGTCGTCGTTCTAGGTCCTTTCCAATGTCTGAGTTCCAGGAGCTAACTGACCCTCCCATTGAACTTCTCAACATAGAATTAAAGCGTGCAATCTTCTCACTCTCAAACATTGGACTACCAGGCCCAATAGAAGGATGCAGATAATTTTCTATTGGATTTCCAGGATACATACCAAGCCCATATGGTGGGTTCCCATAATAACCATGATTAAAACCACCAGATTTACCTAAAAGTGACAACTCATACTGTTGCTTCCTTTGAACAAGCAATGCCTCAAGATATGCCTTCTGAAGCCCCTCTAAGTCTCCATGCAAAGTACCAAAGTGGTTTTTACTCGGAGGATAACCACTTGGACTAGTTACATTACGTGTTGCATAATCAGTTCTTTGCAAAAACTGAATATAAGATGGGTCCATAACAGAAGAATGGAGACCAGGCCCTACTTTGTTTCCCAGTCTGTTCAGACCTTGTTCATCACCTCTAGCTACTGCACCTGAAAAAGAAAAGGAGGGAGGGAGAGAGAGAGAGAGATTGTCAATGCTAAGTGCTACCTGACTATTCAACCAAGGTACTCTGCTGGTTTTAAAAATAAAAAAATTGTTGCAGATGAAATTTAAGAAACTACACAATTACCTGCATCAAGATGATCATTAATTTTCATATTCAACTTCGGATTTACAGGATAGGTCCCAGCAACATGGCCATCAAAGTCCAAACCTGGCGTATTTGCTTCTTGGTAAGGAACATTAGATCCCTCCAAAGCTCCAAAGTCTGAAGCACTCCCGTTTGAGTAAAGACTGGGAGAAGAAGTTCTTCTTGAAAAATTAGCTTGCCCAGTGGATGTAGTACGGTTTGTTATGATTCCATTTTTCTTTGCTAGATGAGCATAATTAGTAGGAAGAGAAAAAATTTCAGCATTTGCCTTCTCTAACAGTTCCTGCTGCAGCCTCTGGTTATGCCCATTTGGCATCTTAAACAGAAAATCATGCTGATTATCAAGATCCACATGAAGCTGCGACTGAATACGTCTATCATCATCTACAGGTCTAATTTTTGACAGGCTTAAGCCAGAAAAATTGACTGAAATATCCGCCAGATCATTCATGCTGGAAGAATGATCATTTCGAATATCTAGACTAGCAACATTCTTCCTCTCGGTTGGGAAAACTCTACTCCCTACAGGGGGGAGGCCAAAACTGTTAGACCTCCCAAGTAGTTGTTGTTCAGGGGTTCTGCTTCTTAACAAAGAAGGCCCGACAGCAGATGCAAAGGAATTAGAAGTTGTTGACCCATGGCTCTGAACTCCCACCAGGCCACGTGAAGCTCTTCCATTATGCATACCCTCTGCAGACTCCACTCCATTAGATAACCCAACTGGATGGGGATCAGCCATGCCTGTGGAATCCATGATATCACCAAATGCGTTACGACTTGATGGCCTTGACAGGGGACCTGACAAGGAGGCAGTTTGATCAAGTCCTTCCTGCAGCATATGTCAGTTATTAATTACACGACACAAAAAAAAGAAACAAGAAATAGCACCAAAGCACTTCTTTCCAAACCAAATTGTTTGGATTTACTTGGAAAAGTGCAGGTATAAGCATATCAATTAAAGAATATGAATAATGAAAACTTTCTGCAACTAATATTCATCTGCACCTTTTCTGGATATTTGAAAAGGAAAAGGAAAAAAAATGACAAAAGAAATGAGAACCTAGACAGTGGTAAATAAAAGTACAGCATGATGCATTCAACATGTCATGCGCATATAATACAACAGCTAGCAAGATGGAAAGGTTCCATTAGATGCCACCACATATAGTTGCAAGAGTAATTCTAAGAGCAGGATCATGCTTTTAGGATCTTAGCTACATCCTTGCTCTGCATCCCTGTGTGAAGGTGAACCAGCCCTTATGGAAAATGTGTGATCTCGTGTATTATGCAATAAATATCAAATGTAAACTAAAAGCTATCTGTAATGCAAGCTTCAAACTGACATCTAACTGAAATACTAATCAAAACGGGCAGGTATCACCAGCATCAAAATACTAAGGCATACAAAATTTGAGAAAGAAACAAATGTCAAGATTAGCAGTTAAAGGGAATCCAAAAAAAAAAATGCAGTACAAAACCATGCAATCAAAGTCTAACCTAGAAACTACATAAATAATACAGAAGAAAGTCTTCACAATAGATTACCTGAAAAATGTCAGCAAAACTCTTTCTCCTTCCACCAAGCCCAGTTGTCGACAAACCAATCAAACCATCTGAGCTTCTATCAAGCCACTCAGATGAAGTCTGTTTAGGGAGATTGCTCCCATTAGCATTCCTCAGTTCCATCATATCGTTCTCTGCCTTTTGTAGCCCCAACTGCGTGGCAAACAGCGACAAACTATCACGATCATCAGCCAACTTCTTCCTCCTCCAGTCTCCAATGCCCTCAAAAGAAGACCCGCCACCCTGAAACCTTTGTGCAACACGCCAATCCTCTCTTGACAACAACGGTGGAGGCAATCTTGGGTTAATGTTATCATGTGAATAGTAGTATGAAAGATATGCAGGATGAGATCGAATCTCATCTTCGGACAAAACCCCATTGTTATTACTAATCCTACTAGTCACATCCCTAAAGTCTGAGTTCCTAAAGAGACTACTGACAGCAGTTAGCGATCCCTCAACAGTTGGCGGGGCACTGCCGCTCCTATACATATTCATGTCCCTCTCCCGATGAATGGCATGCTGATTGCGCTGCTCTCTCAGAATCAATTCAAGCTCACTCTGTAAAGCATCTTCTAAATTCCCATTGGGTCCTTGCCGATTACTGTCTCGGGTTGATAGCATATGTATGTTACTGCCAGTAGTCATTTCCACAACTCTAAATTATCACAAACAAACAAAAAAAAAACACAGAAATTAACAGAAATTCTCAAAATTCAGCTAGTTTTCGCACGAAAAATCGTAATCATTAAGAAAAGTAACAATTGGCTAACTTTTGGTGCACCCAAATGATCAAAAAACCTTATAATTACACAATTCAAAAAGTATAAAATACTAGAAAAAGAACAATATTCGAAATGAAAATTTCGTACCTTTACCTTCACATCGATCAAAACAATACGATCAAATCCCCAACAAATCCTGGGACAAATCAAGGAAAACATCAAAATCAGCAAACCCAATTATATATGATCACACCAAAAAACAACCTCAAAACATACAAAGTCATTGTAAATTTCATAAATTGTATCGAAATTGGTACTGAAACCGGAGAAATGATCAAACGGCAAGGACTTACGTCACAGAACTGATTACGAGGGAGCTACACCAATAATCCAATTGCTATATGTACAGAAAAAAAATATAACAAATGTATATGTATATATGTATACACGATCAAATGTACGAGAAGGTGAAGCTTTTCTGATCGAAAATATAGGCGAAGAATTTTGGAACAATCCCAAGGGTTAGAGAGAAAACTTTACAGAGAGGGGAAGAGAGAGAGGGAAGAGAGATGAGATCGTGTGGGCCTGATATCCTTTCGAAACGGCCGCTTTAATTTTTGGAGAGAGAAAGAGACTGGAGAGAGAGTTTTGGTGGGTACGAGGCGGGAAGAGAGGAGAGGGTGGACCGTCTGATGTGAGGAATGGAGGGGGAACGGTAACTTGCATGGACGAGTTGTGACAAATTTTATTTATTAGGCCTTCGCTTCTAGTTGGGTTTTCAATTCATAACCGACAAATTGACATGAAATGGATTCAGTGTCGCGTGATGATCAATCCTTCGTGTAAGTCTTTCTCTATGCTAGCGGTTGTTTGGTTTGTCATAAGTGTTGTCCCATTTTTTATACTTTATGGTTTTTTATATTAATAACATGTCTAATATATGGGTAAGTAAATTATTTCACTTCTTAACGTTTTATGTGTTTATTCACACGTTAGAAGGAAAAAAAAAGTGCAATATCCTTAAAATTTATAATCAAATACCAATAAATAAGGAACCAGATCGACTACGAGAACTATTTTGATTCCCTTTCCTTCTCTTATTTTTAAGCTTTCCAATTTATTTATTTTTTTCGTTTCTATTAAGGGGGTGAGAAATAAATTGGTTGCGAACTTGTCATTCCGGAGATTTGAATCTAAGATTCTCACTTACGAGTGAAGAAATACCACTAGACCGTAATACATGTCATCTCCAACAGCTGTTTCTAGATTTAGTCCTCATTCATTCGAGCATTTTGGCTCACCACCATAACTATGGTGTATGTTCATCATACACCTAGTCATCTGCAACGTGTCATTTTACCTAACTCTGGTTAACTTTCACACTAAATGTTACTTTTTCAATTTTGAAAAAAAAAAACCAAGGTTAAATAAAATAACACATCACATATGATTAGATGTATGTGAGCATACACCATAGTTTAGGGTAGTAAGCAAAAATCCTCCCCTCATTCCTAGTTATGCACACCAAAGTTCTTAAATGAATAGTGTAGCGCTATAATGATCTATTTCCAATGGTGCATGGACTATGTTTTATTTCTCTTAATATTTTGGGTAAATCTCTGTTTACTACCCTCATGTTTCGTGGTTTTCAACATTTAGTACATCAAGTTTTTTTCATCCCAGAGTCATACTAATGTGTAAATTTTGGGACAATCTCATACATCTGTTAGTCAAACTGTTAAGTTTTCCGTTAACTGATGACGTGGCTCCTATGTAGACAATGACTGGGCGCCACGTGTCATTAAAGGGTCCACGTGGATTTTTTTTTTCTTCTGAGAAGGGGTTAAAAAAAATTTCAAAAAAAAAAAAAAAAAAAACCTGTCTTCTACCTCCCCCACCAACCCCTTGCCTCATCTCCTTCCCTCATCCTCCCGCACCCTCTCCCTCCTTTCTCTCTCGCAACCCGCACCCATTCCCTCCCTTCTCTCTTCTAAAACTACATCATCCCAAACCCCTCTTCCTAAACCCATCTCAATTTTCATCTCTAAAATCCAGAAAAATCAACAACCCTACAAAAATCGAGCTAAAACTTTCAAAACCCATATCAAATCTCAGCCCCAAATACCCCCTAAACCATGAAAAATCCCAACTTTTTTTTTACTAAAACCAAAAGTTTATACATTCCTCCTAAACCCATACCTCTCCGTCCCCTACCTCAACCCCGACCCCCTCCCTTATTTTTCTCCTCTCTTTCTTTGCCGAAGCCATTGTTCCTCCCCTCTCATGTTTCTTTGCTCTAGATCATTGACAATCTCGCAGGTCTAGCCCTAATCTCACACCATTGAAGGCCCATAACCACACGAATCCAAGAGAGAGAAATCGGAAAAAAAATGTTTGGAGAGAGAAAGTTAGGGTTTCTTTTTAGAGAGAGAGAAAGTGAGTGAGATAGACGTTGGAGCCTTGAATCCTGAATCCCATTTCTTGGACTTCTTGAGTGACGTTGGAGCCGGTAATGGAGACATAAACATAGTCGATGAGCTCTTTCCATAGCTGGTCGGAGCTGCTGAAGATTCGAGAAGCGATAATGGTGACGATTTAGGTCAGAATTTGAGACATGGGTTGTCTGGTCTTAGGTTGAAAACTGGACAAGAGCGGGGATTTGAGGCCGTTGAGGGTCATAAAGGAGATTTGGGGAATGGTGGAGTCGGTGAGTAGATTATGGAAGAGTTTCAGTGATTTGCTGGAGCGAGGGGACGGTGGCAGTGCTGATTGAGGCGTGGGGGGAGAGATACTTGGAGTTGAGCGAGGAGAGAAGGGAGGAAGGGGGTCGTCGGGTAGGCAGCAAGGGCGGAGCAGAGAAGGAAAACAGAAAAGAGGGGTTGGTCGCTGGATTGGGTAGGGAAGAAGAAACAGAGAGATGAACCCAAATTGGTTTTTTAGGTTTAGGTTTGGTTTTTTAATTTTTTTAATTTTAAATTAAAAATTGTTTTTTTTTATTTTTAATATTCCACGTGGACTCCTTAATGACACATGGCGCCCAGTCATTGTCCACATAGGTGCCACATCATCAGTTAACGGCAGACTTAACAATTTGACTAACAGATTTATGAGACTGTCCCAAAATTTACACTTTAAGTATGACTCTGGGACGAAAAAAACTTAATGTACTAAATGTTGAAAACCATGAAACATGAGGGTAGTAAACAAAGATTTACCCTAAAATTTTAGTGTGCTAATATGGTGTGAAATTAGATTGAAGAAGTAGGTATTTGTAGAGATTTCTAAGAATTTTTACATTTTTTTAAGGGGTTTTTGAACATTAGTCCTTGCAAAAGATTAAAATTAAAAAAAAAATATGGTGCTAGATTAAATATTCAATTTAATCCCTTGAAGAGTGCTTTTATCAAAATTTACATTCAATTTTTGTTATTTAATGTGTATTTTTATTTAATCTCTTCATATTAAATTTTAATTTTATTAATATGCACATATTTAGTTTTTTAATTATAAATGAACGAAAATGAGAAAATATTAAAAGACATTTGTGATACAAAAATATATAAATACATAAGTGTACAGAAATGATTGTGCCGAAATATATAAAATTGACTTTTTTGTTCCAAAATATTTGAACCTACATGATTGTACCGAAATATATTATAATGAACCTAAATGTATGTACCGAAATGTATTATATTGAATTAATGTACCTAGATGTCAATACAGAAATGTATGTACCAAAATGTACGTACCAAAATGTATGTACCAAAATGTACGTACCTAAATGTCAATACCGAAATGTATGTACCTAAATATCAATACCGAAATGTATGTACCAAAATGTACGTTCCTAAATGTATTTACCGAAATATAATATATTGAATTAATGTACCTAAAAGTCAATACTCAAATGTGTGTACCAAAATGTACGTAATGAAATGCATTATATTGAATCAATGTAATTATATGTTTGTACCGATGGATATACCGAAATATTCAAATATATTAATGTACCTAAATAAAGAACATACAAAATTGCTATCGGAATATAAATTATAAAAGAATTAGCTACCTAAATGTAGACATTAAAATATATTACGATGAATGAAATAAAACATTAAAATAAAAATAAAAGGATAAATAAAACATCAAAATATAACTAATAAATGATATGATTAAATGTACTAAGGACTAAAATTGGATTTTAATCTTACACAAGGTTAAAGTCTAAAACTCATCTTTTTTAGGGATTAAATGAAGTTTTCTATTTTTTTAATCCAACAACTGTGATTTTGATTTTGAAACAAATGAAAACATATACGTTTGACGGAATCAAACACTATCTTTTTAATAAGGAATTTTAACGAAAAACTCCCGATACTGTTAACTTTAACAAAAAACCACATTTTTGCACTAAAAAGTCAATCATGGTACTATTCACTTTACCCTTTATTTTTATCTTTATTGTTAAAACTCAAAGTTTTCAAGTATTTTTCTTTAGTTTTTCATTTTAATAAACGTTGTTTTAAGTTTTCAGAGAATCGCGTTTGTCCAGCTGCATCATTTCTGCATGCGCTAACGTGCGTGCAAATAAACTCTTTATATCCAAGATGATTTGATTGTGAAGGTTAATATTTGAATTACCCATAAGTGAATAAGAGAAATACGTCTCTCAAATTTACTATTTTACGCTCATAATAAATGTTGTATGTTTAGCATATTAATTACTAAAGGATATTTTATTTTTATTTTTATTTTTTTGAGTCGAGGCGATAGCGTTAGTAAGTTAAATGTTAAATTTGTTATCGACGAAATTTGAGCCCACACGTAAAGGCACAATATCTTTCCACCGTTATGGTAAATGATCACTTGTTGTAAAGGATATTTTGTTTAATTTGTGAAAATTATAAGGAGTGGCGGCCCAGGCGGATTCACTTAAAGAGTTTCCATGGAAGCTGTCATTGAGGTAAATTGTTTAACCTATTTTTAGGACACCTGATAGAGAAATATTTGTGTATATACAGACCACATAATGTTGATTTTACATGTTATAATACAGTGGTTGACATGATTGATATCCTATTTTTAGGACACATTAATAAAAAAAAAAAATATGTTACTTAATTTCACTATTTAATAAATGAAGAGTTCAGGATCAATTTATTGTGACATACATTTAGTATGATTCAACCAAAAACGAAAGTAAGAATAGTTATTTGAGAATGAGTTCCACTTATAAGAGAATAGACTTTACATGTGCTTATAGTTGGGCTATTCTGTATATTGTCAATTGGTTTTATAGTGTAACCTGAACTTTCTTCATGGTATCAGGGCATGTTGTCCCTTGGATGAAGCCCAATAGCAACATGTGTGCCACGTCACCCAAGTTGTGTTGTCCACATGCTAGGTATAGAAATTTGACACACGTGATGAGGCGTGTTGAGAGTGTTTCTCACATTGTTGAGAGAAGAGACCTTATATGTGCTTTTTAAGTGATTTGGCTATTTTCCATATTACCAATTCATTTTATAATGAAACCTCAACTTTCTTCAAGTTCATTTACAATTGAAAATTGCTAAGCTGTTCTAATATTTTCAACTTATTTTTCTTAGGGCCATATTTCAAGATGCAATTAAAAATTAAGCGGTTGTTTGGTGTCTTTATATTCAAAATATTTGTTATTAAAACAATAAATCATTTTCAAATA